TCTAATGTTACAGATGCCATGTTTTCTACCGTCTAGATTACAAGCCTTGTGTTATCAATATCAATGTAAAAAATCAGCAATTGGGTGCGTAATCTTAGAGCGTCAGATCGTGGTATCTCCCCGTTCAACCACAAGTGGTGGGGAAATGTACGCACGAATCGTGACCCCGTCCTACGCGACCCAAGTTACTGCGTTCACTGTGACCGTTTGTGCAATGGTCACTTTCAACAGAAAACATCAATCACTCATTCACACCAAGAGAAAAATTAAAAAGTGAGAAAAGTTAGACACTGTCCCTGTCCTTTCCCTTATTGTCAATTAATTAAAACACACAGTTTTCTCCTTCAACTATTAAATCACTGAGATAACACACAGTTGACTCCTTAACTCATAAATCACTTAGATCCTCACACACAGTTTTCTTTCCTTTAGGTTAACTATCAATCACTGAGATAAAACACACAGTTTTCTCCTTTTCTTACGTCACTTAGACTTAGAATACTATTATCCCAATAAAATATAAAATACTTGCAAATCCTTCAATATTTACCCTACTTGGTGTTTGTTTGTTTTTATTTTTTATTTTTAGGTCTCAGGTCAGGTGAAAGGAAAGATTAATTAGTTGGTAACAATCTTACCGTTTTACTTTGGCGCCAAATTAATCTTTTCTCTGACCGGTCCTAGTGTCTCCTGTCGAAATCCTGTTCGTGACGCCAAGTTCTGCAGTAATTTGTCAGAATTCCCCCGCCCCAGAAGCTGCAGAGAGGCCGCAAACACAGCCCTTCGTTCTGCAGGTCCTTTTAGTTCAACAAGAGACAAAAACCAATGTTAAAACAGTGATAGAAATGACAGATACCAAACCTGATTTCAAAAAGGTTATATTGAAGATTTTGCAAGCAATATTACAAGATAACGGTCCGCGAACAGATCTCGCTTCGCGTTCAGATAAGGAGTGGCCCCCGGGGACGTCTCACTGCTCCTTGTCAGACGAAAAAGCAAAAAGTCTCTCGTGACCACTCCTGCACATACATTTATACTTTACATCCAAGGTCAATGACATCACAACTGTATGGACTCCACGACTCCTTCTGGCCAGCTGCCAACGTTTGCACCTGCTCTGATAACACTTGTCTCCCTCTTGTCCCCCTCCCATTTCAGACTAACCTTGAACTCACTGCTCTTTGAGATTTACACAAACAAGTGCTAATTTGGCAACAGAAACAATACTAAACTGATTTTAGTTTTTAACTGGTGCAGGAGTTAATATTCCAACAACTCTTTCAAACTTCTAAGCAAACGGTAAAGTTGCAACACACAGATTACTATCCATGTATAATGCATGAAGAGATAACATGTGTAAGATTATGTCATATCGTGTGCTTCATCGTCTCTGCTCTCCCCACAGCACGCCATTTTGATGCTGTCAAACACCGCCATGTAGAGCAGCGGGTGAATGCACATGTTTAGAATCGCCAGCCCTTTAGTAACTTGGTACGTATCAGACATCAAGCAGTTGACTTCATCGCCTGATAGTCTCTGATAGTAGTGGTACATTCGGAAAATATGGTACGGCAGTAACGAAATGACATACAACGCAATGACCGATATCACCAACAGGGCCACCTTTCTTCTTTCAAGCGCAGTTATGCTCACACTTTTCCAGACCACTTGAATAACCACACAATAAGCGACCAGGGTGATTAAGAATGGCACCAAACACCCAAACACAGACAGAAACATTGCATAATGAAAATGTGGTCTCTCTGTGTTGTGCTGAATACAGAAAGAGACACACACAGTTGTGTTGCCACTTATGTTAGGGCAAGATGAGGCAAAATGAAACACAGGACTTGAAAATATTCCAACCATAACCCATATGACAGCACTGGCCATCTTTGCCCTTCTAGGTCCCAGGTATGTTCGGCTGAAGAATGGGAACTTCAAAGCCACGCAGCGGTTCACACTTATGGCCATGATGAAGAAGATGCTGACATACAAGTTACAGTTGAAGAGAAACCGCTCGATTTTGCAAGCAGCTTTTCCAAATATCCAGTCTCTCTGTAGAGCGTAGTAAACAATTAGAAGTGGTAGAGTGAGGATGTAAATCAGATCGCTGATGGCCAAGTTGACGGATAAGACTATGCCAGAGTGCCAGTTCCTCCTCTCTTTGGTCGCAAGCAGATAAATGGCAAAAATATTTCCCACTAGAGCGACGACAAACTCAATTCCATACAAGGACGGAAGCAGGTTGATTTGAAATTTCTCACATTTATTGGAGATGTTCATCTTGAGAAAGGACGCTCTGCCACGCTTCGCGTAATCTGACCAAAAATGCTGCTGTTACTGCGCCTCAAGTCGACGTTTGAATTTTCCGCATTCTGCTGATAAAACAGCACATAAACCACACAAGTATAGCTCTTACTTCCTCTGGAGGTTTCACAATATGCAGAAAAAAAACTGACGCAAGTTTGCTCACTATGGTCAGTTGAACTATCTATAAATAGTGAATATTAAGATTAAGAGATCCTTCGTTAGTCCTTTAAGGAGCACACAGCACAAGATAAGTGAACAATAGCTATACTAATTAAAATAAAACAAAAACTCAAACTCTAGCATCAAAGAACAAGTGTAAAATCTATATCTTGAGCATAATAATAATAAGAAATATACAAAATTTACATTTGGCAAAATAAGAGGCGAGTATAAGATCTATAAATTAGCAGCATGATGCTCTGGGACACAGTGACTCAGTAAAGTGACATGTGTGGTTCTATATTGCACATATATCAGAATATTAGTTAAGAATATTGCACTGAAGCATGACATGTGAGATCAGGTTGGCAGTGTTCATTAATCCTCATTGTTTGTTGTACAGTCTGACAGCAGGAGGAAGGAAAGACCTGCGGAGCCTCTCCTGCACACAAACATTACTTCAATATAGTTCAAGAACCATTAAGAGCAATTAAAATCTTTTCTCTATCTGAACATCTGTGAGAAAACTGGTTATGTTTATGTAGTCCTTTTTGGACACTCAAAGATGCTTCACATAGCCTTCTTGTGCTGTCTGTTTGAGGCAGACTGACAAGAGGCAACCGGTCAGTGCCATCAGCCCCTCGGACCACCACCAAACATTCACACACACACACCAGACCTTGGGTGAAGTGTCTTGCCTAAGGACATGACGACAGTTTGGCACTTTACATCCACCCCAATGGGGCACCTAGTGTTCCCAGATACCTCCTATCACTGTACTAACCAGGTCCTGCCCTTCTTAGCTTCTGAGGGGATCAGGCATTTGCATGCAGGTGGCACCATTTAAGTATTTCAGTCTATCTAGAAATTAGGGCTGCAACTAACGATTATTTTAATAATCGATTAATCTGTCGATCATTTCTTTGTATAATCGGATAAAAACAAAAAAACAGACCTAAACAAAAAAACATGCAAATGTAAGCTATGCAAATATTGGCTTTTTGAAAAGTAAAGTGCACAAAATAGGTATTTTTAGGGATGCACCCTAATTTTTTATATATATATATATATATATATATATATATAAAAAAATTAGCGTGAAAGGGATGAGAATTTTCAGACAAATGGTAGAATTCCGACTTTTTCTCGCTGAAATGGACCTCTGACTTTTTGTTCAAAAGTACATTATGAATATAGTACATGTCAAATTTTCAACGATTTGTAAACAGGCGGGCGCGTGGGCGGCCATGTGCGCTGAGAGGTCCTTTTATGGGTCCTTTGGAGACTACGGAGCTGTCAAATAACTTTAACGGTGTCTACTGTCTAAATCATGGATCTAAATCCGAAGTGATTCAGATAGGAGGAAAGAGACTAAGCACACACGCACAGTGTGTGTGTGTGCGTGAGCCAGCGGAGGAGCAGACGTGTGTGTGTGAGCGAGCAGAGGAGCAGACGTGTGTGCGCGTGAGCGAGCAGACGTGTGTGTGTGTGAGCGAGCAGAGGAGCAGACGTGTGTGCGCGTGAGCGAGCAGACGTGTGTGTGTGTGAGCGAGCAGAGGAGCAGCAGATGTGTGTGTGCGCTGCTAATACCACAGTGAATTAGAATTAATCAGAAGTCACCATCTTTGTGCATTATATTAAAAAAGTCTGAACACAGCTGTACAAGATTGAGCCCAACTCATGTGAGCTCCGCAGATCCACAACTCCGCGACGTAGTGGTTGACGCATTATGGGCTAGACACACGGGAGGCGACATCGCATCGCCTCCATTCATTTCAATGGGACGTGCGCGACATAGCGTCAATCGCTAGCGAGCCTCCTGCTCAGCGACGGGCGAAAAACGTGCGTGTGAAATCCTCCCGCTCGTGCATGTATCGTGCACGCGCAGGTCAGCGACGCGATCCCAGAAAGTTGAAATCGGCTCAACTTTTCGTCGCTGTCGTCAAGCCGCATCGCGCCCCGTCTGTCATGTTATCTGAGCGACAGCGTTGAGTTTCGCTGATCGCTCTCATTTGTCGCCTCCCGTGTGTCTAGCCCTTTAATCGCGCGACACAACGAATCGAGAATGAACATGGATCTATTATAATAGATAATGAAATTTGTTGCCAACAATTTAAATTATCGATTCGTTGTTGCAGCCCTACTAGAAATAAAACATTTAACATTTGTCTTCCCATTTTCAGCATTAACGGCCTATTTAAGAGCCATAAGTAGCTTCATACTTAAGTTACAAAAATAACATTCTGCTATGACCAGTCCTGCTAACCTCTGCTGCTGTTGCACTTTATTAGTAACTTAAAATTATGAATTTGTTTGTATGGAATTTTTTTTTCCCTACGGGGATCTTAAGTATGTAACAATGGCTGAACCAGTTTGTGTGAACGCAGGTGGTCAAAAAGATTTAGCCAAAATGAATTATAGAAATATTTATTTAAAAAAAGTGTAAATTCACATTTTTACAATCTTTTATAGTTATATGTACAAACAGAAGTGACAGTAGAACAGTTTTTTGGGAGGGGCTCATCTCTTTAGCCATTTTGTTTCCTCTGTTTGAAGCCTTTCTTTCCCCCTGCAGGTTTTTCAAAGGCTGGTTTTCCTCCTTGTCCTTTAGGTTTGAATTTGCCGTCCTTGTTTTTCTTGGAATAAGTTTTATCTGAATTGAATTTATTTTTGCCGAACCTTGCCGGACCACCAGCTTTATCCGAATTGAATTTATTTTTGCCGAACCTTTCCGGACCACCAGGCCTTTTCTTGGTGAAAGTCCTGTCTCCTGGTTTACCCTGCTTTGAGAAACGCTTATCCGAATCACCAAATTTCTTCCATGGTTTTTGTGGGTTCCCAGTCTTGACTGTTCGATCGGCTCCTGGGCCATTTCTTTTAGGTGATTTGCCATGTTTGTCCTTGTATGGAGGCTTCCCAGGAAACTGTTTCCCCTTGTTGGCAGATTCATTTGACTTGTCTCTCATTCGCCTTCTCTTGGCCCCAGGGAACATATCTGCACACAAAGGAATTTGAGTGAGAATCAATGCAATCCATAATCAACAAATATTTGGTCATAAGACTTTTACCTTCATCTGGTTCCTGCCCCACAGCCTGTCTGTAGTATTCCACCTCATCGTCAGAATCCACACGAACCCTGTCGTCCTGCACTCCAGGATCTTCCACTTCACTGTCATCCTCAGCACGTTTCCTTTTTATACCTTCAAGGCTCTTTAACCTGTTTAACAGTTTAGACAAATGAGATTGAAGTTGACAATTTAACTTAAATCAATGAGCTGCTCCTCTGGCTTACTTGTTCTTCTCTTTTTGTTCTTTCTTCAATGCCACATTCTGTTCTTGATTCTTCCGTCTTTCTTGTTTTGCCTTCAGCTGCACCTCTTTTCTCTTCAAGATTTCTTTGATTTCCTCTTCTGTCTTAGTAACTGGAAAATATTTTGAAAATCCCCTCAAAAACATGAAGACAAAACCAATACGTAACTCTGGTCAAGAAACTATATCAGCAAGCGTTTACTTTAGGAAATGAATCATTTCTCAGATCATAGAAAACGTGTCATCAGTTGCATCATAATGTCTGAAAGTCAATCAGGCTACTGTACTTACTGACAGAATGATACAGGATATTTCCACCCCCCATGCCTTCTTCGATCTTTGAGAGTTTCAGAGTCATCCGAGGGCCAATCTACATAAATTAAAACAGCCGCTTTCAAAACAGTGAACTGGTTTTATTGTCAGAGGACTCTTGTCATGGGAAAGGGTATAAATAATTATAAACTATTAAAAACCTGAAAATATCACTCACCTCAGTTAAGCGAACAGCACTTTGTTGAGATGCCATATTTCCTCGGCCCGAATAGGCTTGGGGAAGCTCTGTAATGTTGTGGTCACCATCTTGCTCTGCTTCGCTTTCCGAGAGGTTTGCACCCCTAAACAAGAGCAAACACACTTAGCACAACAAATGTAATCACAATACTGAAATTTAGAACATTAAAATGTCTTTACTTAATCAAGAGCTCACTGATGTCCTCAAGCTTGTTCATGTTGGGAAACCGTTCCTGCATCAACTTCTTCACTCCACGACTCATTCCCACAGGAACCACCTTGAGGCTACTGCGAGGTGGGAAAACCAATTCTCAGGATCACATTTTTCAACATTTAAAACTATTCTTTACAACAGAAGGGTTCATCAGTGCGTTTACTTTGAGACAAAAATCACTGAACAATCAAGTCAAAATGGGTCATCGTTTGAACCAGAATATGGTGAATAATAAAGTAACTATCACTTACTAATGCCGGAATTCAATTTCTTCAGACTCTGGCTTGTAATTTAGCAGCACACACCTCTTGATATTGTTGAGATTAACCTGCAATACAATAAGGTCCAGACCTGAAACACCTGGACACTTAAAGAACAAAACAGGTACAGCTAAAAAGCATTTCAAGTCAGAAAGCGTTTACTTTTGATTGATCGTCAATGTTAACTCAGAAGACTATACTTTCATCATACATCTCAGGAAATATAGTGACCAAACATCACATTATGTGTACCTTATGCACGTTTATGGAGGGGAACATGTTTTGAAACATGGTAGCCATTAGCTTGATGTGCATCCCACTGGACCCAAAGTTATTAAGGATAAGGAGTGGATGATGTGTGAACTGCTGCTCGTGCATCCGGTGTTTCTTTAGAGCAGACACCACGTCCTTCACCAAAGAGTACTGAAAAATAAAACATTACTTAACCAAACAGGAAACTTAATTCTCAACATTGCCATGTGCCTTCGGTTAATCAGTGCGTTTACTTTGAAAAACATCACTTTCAGTCAAAACAAAGATGTAGCATCACTTGAGCCCTAAATATAATGCCTGTTTCCTTTTATAATTTATGTTACCTCGACTATTTTGAAGTGAAGCGTTGGGCCTTTAGGAAGACGAGCAACCCTCTGAAATTGCAATTTAAAAAGGTTAAATAAGAAAATACATTGATAAAATACGACAAAACTTAATATATCTGCTCACCATGTTAACTGAAGTCGGCGTCTTACTAAACATAACAAAATGAGTGACTCCGAGTGGTCCAGCTATGGACACAAAGTCTTTGAGAACATTCTTTTTTCTAACCTAAAAACAAAAAAACCCAATTAATTACCAAGTTAATCAAAACAATACTTTGCATACATTTGTGACTAAACACGGACCTTTAAGCTTTCTGCTGTGTACGGCTGCATGACTTTTCGAAAATCAACGATGAGCTGGCCCACGTTTTTGCCAATCTGTCCTCGGTTAAACACGAAGGTGTGCGGGACTGCGCCGTACGTCTCCTCGGCCACATGGTTGGCGGAGGTACGTGCCTTTTTCTGGTTTTTAGTCTAAAAACAAATAAATACAGACATAGCGTTATTTCCGACAAACCAGTCCGGGAACACGAGGGAAAAAAAACCGTGAAAAAGACGACATGGTAGCTACCAAGTCTCACCTTTGTTTTCACCATTTTTACCTAAATGTAACTTTATAACAAGACACAGAAGTATTCTTGTCGAGATTCTCTAGGCTATACTATTAGCACATATATAAACAGAGTAAACGAAGAAACTACGTGTGAAATAAGCGTGAAACTAACGTCGAACTGCACATGGCTGCAGTTGCTGCTGTGTGTCACCCCGTTACACGTCCGGGCGCAGCACGTTCGTAAAAGAAATAGTTCCCAGACCCATTTCAAACGAGATTAAAATTTGAATAATAAATATAACAACAAAAATGTAATCAAGAATAATACTCATCATGTTACTAATAATAACCATCATTATAATTTCTACACGTTTTCCTCACACAGGCCTTAATTATAATTCACATATTTATGTGGATCATTGATAAACGTAAAATAAAATCATTTAATATCACATTATGCTAAATACTTTTGGAATTTATAAAACTATTCATTTTGACTTTTTTTTTCTTGATGAACAGGTTTGTAACAGAGGGAAAGGGAGGAGGAGACAGACACCAGGCTCCATTCTGCTGAAGGCGGTGTCATTAGGATGGTTTTGAGCCAGTTTGTAATTAGCAACAGAAGAGACATCTCAGACGGACCCTAAGGAGCAGGACTGGTCTGCATCGTGTCCTTGACATTCAGCTAATTTCCACAATGCTAGAATTTGATCAATTTAAATAAATATTTAGAAAGCGTTGGTGTTACTAACACAGATCAATTCCAATTTAAGGATGTAACTTTGAGAAATCTTCTAGGATGCAGGAATAAATCACTGCCTGGAGGACTAGTACCCATCATTTTTTTGCTGCCAAAGGTAAGATTTTTGTATTTTTATTGAATCTTCTGTTTACTGTCCTTACTATCTCTTCTGTGAGAAACCTAAAGAAACAAATTGTCAATATTTGGTTAATGGTTTTATGGTGTTTACTTAGTGTGATTTTGTTGCACACACTTTAAACAGCTCAGTTGACCGTGAGGTGGGCGCTGTTGATTCTGACTAGTCTGTATTGACTGTTGTCTCCACATTGTTGACTTGCTAATAAATTCCTGCCCAGGACCAATGTGTCTTTTAACCCACACACACAGCGAGTTATCATAGAAAAACTGTTGCTTTGTTTGTAGATGTTGTTACTTGCTTTTAATGCCAATGTTTTGGGAAAAAAATTATTCAAACATAGATCATACAGCTGTACAAGAAATGAACAGAAATTAACAACGGATAGATGTGATATTACAAATGTATACCAATTGAGATTTTTTGCACACATTACAAAATAAGGACTCACTGGAATATAAAAGATGTATTAGCAACCATGTGCATGTTGGGAACTAGAATCATTTTAAACATTTTATTTTATTTTATAACATACTGTTTGAATTAAAGCAATATTAGGGTTAGTGTTTTCTTACTGCCTTTTATAAAGCCTTTGTAAAGCCACTTTTCTGTCGGCACCTTACTGCACTGCTTGATGTATATTGTATATTGAGTGCACCGAGTGCACTTGTATATAATAATCTTAATAATCATACTTTTGTAGTTTATTGAAACTTGTATACTTTAGGAATGTTTTATTATGCCTTATTCTTTCTCTACTTTTGATTTGTTTGCACAAAGAGCCAAAGCAATTTCCTGGTCTGTGACTGTGACTTTGGTATTGGGATCCTCTTACCTACATGACAATAAAAATGATACATATTCTTCTTTGACTATGTATTTTAGAATTTACTTGTACAGTCCAGTAAAGTTTGTGTAATACTTCTACATTGAAGTCAGCATAGTATTTTATTATCAAAGATTTTTATTTCTGACAATGGGACACTGTACTATTGTGTTCAGTTTTCAAGAATATTATATTCAAAAAATTACCTCTCCTTGGCATAACTACAACCTGCTACGATTGCTGGAGAAGAATAAGAATATAAATAAATACATATTCACCAAGCAGCAGACTGCAAAGGGAATGAATGGGTCTAACTACTGCCTCTCTTCAAAAAGTGTCTCTCTTCACTGTGTGAAAAGTAACTGACTTTACTGTCGATTTTCTTATATATTACCCAAATATTAGAAGAATAAATACATTATTGCTCAATATTGTCCATCCCTCATGTGGCAAAAGTCCTCATTGTGTCGGTAGAGTCCATTCAATTTCAACAACATAAACCTGTTATTGAAGCAAAACTTTCCCACATAATTTTTCTTAGAAGTCCAGACATCACAAATTCATGGGGACGACACTGCTCATCGGCCTGGGAACTCTTCTGCTCACACTTGGCTTGTACCCCAATGCCTGCAACACTCAAAAAGTCCTAAATCGTCCGGATCCCAAAGACGGACGCTGCTCCTACACCTTCATCGTGCCTCAGCAGAAGTTGTCCGGAGCTCTCTGCGTGAACACGGCTTCTGCAAACCAGTCCGAGCTGCAGACGCTGAGGGCAGAGCTGAAGAAGCAGCAGGAGCAGATGGACAGGCTGAGGGCTCGGCTGGAACAAGAGGGGGCAGCGGTGATGGAGGTCCGGACCCTTCGCAAAGAGAGCAACAGCATGAACTCACGCATCACACAGCTCTACGCACAACTGCTCAGCGAAGTCATCACCAAGAAAGACCAAATTCTGGAGCAAAAGAGAGTGGAGAGCTTGCTGTTGAATGCCACAGCCCAGGTAAGTGCTGTGGGGAGTAGGCCTGCAAACAAAGTGGCTGTATAAATTTCCATTAGGATTTGAATAGAATTGGGCATTTTCCTTGGGAACAAGATTTAAGATTTAAGAAGACCTTTAAGAGTACAGGTTTTAAAACTTGATTAATTTGCCACAAAATTGCCATGAAAATACAAATACCAACCTAAATACAAATACCAACCTAAATACACTATTTAAATCAGGTCTTTAACTGAGGCTTAGAGAAATTTGGTTAGCTGTAAAGTGCCAAAATGTTGTTGTTTACTTTGGCAAGACACTTCACATACTGCTTCATTTTTACCAGTCAGTCCCAGAGCAGCAGTGACGATTGAATGCTATGTGTAGCATTTTTGAGTGTCCAAAAAACTGCTATAAAAGCAATGCTCTATTATTAAGAGGATTTACATAAAGAAACAGATAAATAAAAAAATAAAAACATTAGGTTTGAATAAAGCAGCAAAGCAGGGAATTTTGTTTATGTGGCATCTATTGAAATATTTAAATAATAGTTTGCTGTGATAATCCTGATTTGGACATTATTATTATTATTTGTATTAACTGAGACTCAGACCCCTCTGTATATATGTCTTATGATATGATAATTCATATCATGTGAATAAAGGCATTGCAGGTGTCTAACAATTACCGGGAGCTTGAAAAGAAATACGGCGCCCTCACGTCCATGATGAGCGCCCAGAACCAATTCATCTCACGCCTGGAGAAGCAGTGCCAATGCAAAAACTCACCACACTCGGCTGCGGTAAGGTCACATCTCTTCATTATTTTAACCCCTACAGTATTTAAAAACCTGTTGCTTGATAAGAGCTGTTGTTTTCTGTGCAGGTCACGCTTGAACCGCCCAACGCTCCTAAGCCCAGTGTGTATCATAATTACAGTTCAGCTGCAAACGACGTTCAAAGGGACCAAAGTCTTCCTGCAGCACAACAGCAGGAAAACAGCGTCTCTGTGGGACCCCTCCCCACCAGCACGGCCGACGCACCCACTGAGCCACCCTTCATTAGCTTCCCTGTCACAAAGACGCCAGGTATACGGCCTGATACTTCTTTATACAAATGTGCTACTAAAATAACTAAACTGGAGCTTAACTGGAACTTAACTTGACATGGACTAGACTTGACCAGACCAGACCAGACCGTCTTTATTAAGCCAGGATCAGAACAGGAAAACAAACACAACATCAGGACTTAACTGGGATAAACCAGAGCCAAAACAAGTCTTGTGTGAATTCTTAATGTGCAAACAGTAATACCTATTGTTGAAGAATAAGGAACTGTTTCCCAAAATGAAATATGGGGCTCGCTGGGAAAGAAGCACTTCAGGGAGACCCCCAAAGGTTGCCATTACAACAAGAAATTGATAATTTGAGAATTGTTTGCATACTTTGATATTTTATTATTATTATCTTTAATATTGCCCTGGAGCTAATTGGCATATTTTGATTCCATTTATTATCTTGAGTTAGGGTAAGGGTTCAGTTTAAAGTTTTTTGCGCACTAAGGTTTTCCTGAATTCCAATAAACAGAAGTGAGTCATTGACCTATATGTAGGGCGAAAACCATATCTCTGTGGGAACTTCTAAACATGTAGATACATTTATCAAAGCTTACTAAATAATTAGGAGGAGATCACATGACATCTCATCATTACAGACCAATCATAAGCTATGAAACCAATATTATAGTGCAATATTAATAAATAATAATAACCTCCAGTGATAATTTTGTAATGCTTTATTGTTTGTAAGAAGGCGACACAAAGAATAATGGTAGGCTGTGTATCTCTATGTTTATAATCACCCTAAATTCCATTCTGTGAAGACCATTGAACATTATCTCAGTGTGGGAGGCAGGCACGATCATCAACATTCTTAGCGTATGGCTTATCTGAAAACTAGACAAGGACTGCACATTGTAAAAACTAGAGCGGTGTGCAAATAATGACCATAATAATGTCTAATAGTGTGGTACTTTTAAAAAGTGTCATTAATATAAAAAAACACATTAGAAAACCAATAGAAAGAGGCTGGTAAAATGAATATTGTTCATATATGGTTAAAATGAATAATGAAAAAGGCATGTAAACAACATAGACCCCAACTTTCACAGACTTGTAAGAAAGAGCCCTGTGAGTCAATTTTTGACGCTGTGAGGGTGGTTCTCTATGACTTTTCTGTCCGAAAAATCTGTTTTAAAGATTTTATCAGAGGCCAAAAATATATGAATGTGAAAACTACAGCGTGAGAACCAAACTAGGAAAACTAGATTGATTTTATTACATTGCTTTTTTTTTTTTTGCTATTTGAAAATTAGGCACCTCACCTGGATTTCTTTTCTAGATTATTGTCATTTTCATCACATATCAGAAAATATTCTTGTCAGTAGCATTCTGTGTTGTGCCTATACAATTAAATGAATAGCAACATATTTGCATAAGTTATCTTTATTTATTATGCATAGGTTATCTTTATTTAGAGCTGTTTGTAAATGAGAATAACATGAGCCTCTCTTTCTCTCAGGGCCGTGGCGTGACTGTCAGCACGTCCTGTCCTCAGGGGAGGGCATCAGTGGGATTTACCTGTTGCGTCCTCAGGGCACAAACACATTATTCCAGGCCTGGTGTGAGCAGAGCCATGCTCAGGGAGGCTGGACCGTCATACAGAGGAGGCAAGATGGATCCGTCAACTTCTTTAGGACGTGGGAGCAATATAAGGTGGAGCTAAGATTAGACAATTAAATGTATTTTTGCACAAATCTGTAAAGGTTTCATTTCTATACTGGGTAATAATGAAAAAACATATCTGTTTATATTGTTGATGGATAATTTATACATTTTGAAAGGACATAACCCCACCCACACTATTATTTGAACATTTTAATAAACGTCTTATTACCATCACATTCCATCTACACACTACATTTCAGCTCAATCCGTCCAGTGGTTTTGCACAATCCTACCTACACACACACACACACACACACACGCACGTACGCATGCACACACAACTGCCTGGCCCCTCCTTCTGCTCTCTCTCATAAGTTTGTGTCATAGTGACAATCTTCAAAGCAGCAGCTATGGCGCAGAAAGCAGTGCAGCCCTTAGCGTTTGTCTGTCCTGTGTGTTTGGATCTACTGAAGGATCCCGTTTCTCTTCACTGTGGACACAACTACTGCCTTAATTGTGTCAAGCAGCACTGGGACAAAGAGGAGGACAAGCAGCTCTTCACCTGTCCTGAGTGTCGCATGAGCTTCTGCCCCAGGCCTGTGCTGGTCAAGAACACTCTGTTAGCAGCTGTAGCAGAGCAGATGAGCACTGCTGGGCCTCAGGATGTGTCTTGTGACATGTGTTCTGAGAGGAAGCTGAAGGCCGTTCAGTCCTGTCTGCAGTGTGTGGCCTCCTACTGTGAGCGCCACCTACAGCCACACTTTGATGCATCAGCGTTCAAAAACACCAGCTTGTGGCGCCTTCACAAACGCTGCAGGAAAACATGTGCTCTGAGCACAACGAGGTGAAGAAGATGTTCTGTCGCTATGATGAACAGATCATCTGCTTCCTTTGCTGTGAGGATCAGCACAAGGACCATGAGACCATGTCCTCATCCTCAGAGAGGGCCCAGAGGCAGGTAGAGCTTCCAGAAAAAAGGGACCTACTCCTTCAGAACCTTCAGCACAAAGAGACAGAGCTAACCACGCTCCAACAGCAGGCCCAGGATATCAGCCGCTCTGCCCAAGCAGCACTGCAGCTCAGCAGGGACAGCTTCAGAAACATGCTCCTTCTCCTCGAGAAAACAGCCAAAGAAGTGGAGCAGAGGATCAAGTCTGAAGAGGAGAGCCAACTGAGCCGAGTCCAAGATCTCCAGGAACAAGTGCAGCAGGACGTGAGTGAGCTGAAGAGGGGCATCTCTGACCTGGACTCACTTTCCCTCATCAAAGACCACAATATGTTTTTACAGCTCTACACTTCACTGCCCACCCACTGCCCTTCACTGTCACAGAGGACAGTTCCTGCCAAAGAAGCCAGGAGCCCCTTCGAGGAAGTGACCGGAGCTCTGTTCGATCTCAGGGACAAACTGCAGCTCACTTTGGAGGAGGGACGCAACAACATCTCCCTGGCTCTAAGTCGTGTCCGGCTTTTACTTACAGAACCCAAAAGCAGAGGGGACTTCTTACTGTATTCTACAGACTTCACTCTGGACACAAACACTGCTCACAGGAAGCTGTATCTGTGTGATGGAAACAGAAGTGCAACAGTAACAAGAATAGAGCAAAACTATCCAGATCACAAGGACAGATTCAGTGACCTGTCTCAGGTCCTGAGCAGACAGAGTGTAACGGGCCGCTGTTACTGGGAGGTGGAGTGGAGTGGGCTATGTGGTGTTTCTATCGCTGTTACATATAGAGATATTCAAAGGAACGGCTACCGTGAAAGTGATTTTGAAAAAAATGATAAATCCTGGGCCTTGCGGTGTCATAAGACCTATCCTTCATTTGTCCATAACTCAGTGGAGTCCAAGGTCTCAAGTGATATCGGGTCCAAAATCGGGGTTTACTTGGACCACAGTGCAGGGATATTGTCTTTTTACAACGTCTCTGAAAACATGAGGCTCCTCCACAGAGAACACACCACTTTCACTCAGCCACTTTACACTGGAGTCTGGATTGACTTGAATCATATTGGATCCACTGTACTTTTCCCGAAACTGAAATAGCATCTGATCCCCACAGTTTGGTATCAAGTCTGTTTTTCTTGACAATTACTTTTTCCTTCAATGCAGGTTCAGATCAGTGTGGTAATGTTTATGTAGAATAAAATTGTGTAACTTGTGTAACTGTGCCTACCTGACAGACTATTCACTGTCATTACGTAAAAGTGATTTATATCCGCTCTGAATCCACTGTTTTATGAGTTTCGTGTGGACTTTGATTCAAAATTGTAAAACTGATTGGGTCACAAATGATTAACATTGGTTTTTCTTGGTGAAGGCTTTTAAATCTGAAATAAAAACATAGAATGTGTATGTTTTTGTGTGGCCTTTTTAACCTAATATCAGAAAACTGTAAAATGATCAGCCCCAACTTTACCATAAGCACTTTACTTTTCTAAATGGCAATGTTTGTTTCCACACAATCTGGTCACTTGGTACCATAGACTTGGTACTGAACTTACCTCATGTTGCAGCAAGGCTTTGGAAACCTGGACGGAGAGTACTGGCTCGGTCTGGAGCACCTCTACTGGCTGACCAAACAGGGGCAGTACAAGCTGCGGTTGACCCTGGAGGACTGGCAGGGCCGGCAGGTGTTCGCGGAGTACGACAGCTTTCACCTGGAGCCGGAGACGGACTGGTACCGGCTGCGTCTGGGCCACTACCAGGGCACGGCGGGGGACTCGCTCTCCTGGCACAACAACAAGGCCTTCACCACACTGGACCGCGACAAGGACAGCTACTCAGGTTCATCACATTTCAGTTCAATCATGAAACAAAGTCATTCACAAACAGGGGGTTGGGTTGGAACTGTTTCTGCAAGAAAAAAATACAGTATTTAAAATATCCTTGGGCAAGACACTTAACCCCACTTTGCCTGAAGCTCCCACTGAAAGATCTCAGCTCCTGTGGACTCACCACCTGCAGGAGGATCAGTGAGGGGCTGGTGCTCTGTGTGCTGGGTGGCATCTCTGGCCACCCCCCCGACCCAGAAATGGATTAAGGGGAAGAAAATGGATGGATGGATGGATGGATTTAAAATATTCTACTGTAGTTTTATGCACATCTTCTATTCATTGCTTTGACCATGGCCGCCTTTTCACAGTCTAAAATGTACTAATAATAATGTAATATTCCTACACTCTATATGACTTATGCAAACACCACTCATAGATTCATATGAGGCAAAGTGGATGACCATCAGATGTGGTAAGCTAAGCAGGACAGGGCCTGGTTATACTGTGATGGGAGACCTCTGTGAACACCAAGTGGCACAGTGCTATACTGTTGTGTCCTGTTGTGACACTTCACCCATATTGCCTGAGCCAGGTGAGCGTTTGAGTGATGAGGGTCGAAGGAGAAAAAGTGAAACAAAGTAGTCGCCTTTTTTCTGTCAGTCTGCCCCAGGGCCGATGTAGCTACAAGAATAGTGTATCACCACCGTGTACAGAGGGATTCTTAACAGTTTTTTGTGTTTTCAGGTAACTGTGCTCACTTCCAGAAGGGGGGCTGGTGGTACCACATGTGTGCCCACTCTAATCTGAACGGTGTATGGTATCGCGGAGGACACTATCGCAGCCGTTACCAGGACGGCGTCTACTGGGCCGAGTTCCACGGGGGCTCCTACTCACTGAAGCGTGTGTCTATGATGGTCAAGCCCATATAACCAGCACTCAGACATGGTAGTTTTGTGGTTATCCCAACTAATCATTCCCAGCACAGAAAAAAATGTGTTTGGCATAAGGCTGCATTTATGAGTGTGTTTACTCAAAAGTTAAGTATTTTTTTGCGTTTGACCATGCTACAACCTTGTTTCCCCAAAAACAGGCCTGGAGTTGATTTTAGCTCCATCCACGCTAATATTTGAAACTCCTGGCACCAACATGTAATTCCTTTTAAAGGCAGTTTCATTCCTTTAAAAAAAGTATTACCCCCAAATTAGAGAGAAAATTATGATATTTAAAATGTACATTGTAGGAGATCATTTTTAATTGTGGAGAAAGACAAAACAAATTCTACTCCTTCCTTTGGTGATTACATAGGAAGTGTAAAGCATTTTTTGAGATATTATTTTACAGTCTAAAATATTAAGCAACATTAAGTATATAGTCTAATCATTATTTTTAATTGCCAAAAATAACATAGATAATTTTGTCTTTGAAAAAGCATAAAATTGCCAACTTGTGTTTTCATGATCACTGTGAGCCACTGCTTTGCTGCTGTCCGGTACTAATGCATGTGTGTAATGTCTGCCACGAACACCACATACCAAACCACAATATGTAAAGATGGTCTTTGTTATTGTTAATTACATCATTTTCTGTACTTTATGAACTTTATGAAAAGCTGGAGTACCTGACATTACCACAAGAAACGGAGCTCTGTAATAAAATACTTCAAACTAGTTCTTTGCTCTCCAAGCATGTGCATCAGATCAAAAAAATGAATAAGAGAGGACCACCCTCACTCACCTTAAAAGGCTCTCGCCCAAAGCAACTAGATTAAAGGGCTCTTTCATATTAAGTATGCTAAAGATAACATGTGTTCAGCATTTTTTAGATAACTGAATACAAAGAGATTTAGAAAACATTACATTTTTACAACCAAAACAACACAATTCGATACTTCTTAACAGGAAAGTACTCCCAGTGTTCAGAATACATGAACACAATGCATTTTCAGTTTCACTTTATTCTCTAATCTTTCTTCTCTCACTGTGGACGACTGCCTTATGCTGATTTTGATCCATTAACTATATACTAGTTCTGTCATGACATTTCTGTGATCGCTCTTATCAATAAATCATGTTGAAGTATTGTGGGGGTCATCGATGGGTGTGTTTTTTAAAGTGAGGTGTCCATGTTTTGTCCTCTGGAGAGGTTGTGGTGACACTGTTTCCGTTGGTGGTTTCCTGTTCACAAGGGCGTAGAGTTTCCCCTTATATACAATCGGCTTTCCCTCCTGAACCTCCTTTCAACTCACAAAAGCCCAGGTCACAATCAGCATAGAACCGGGACTATTATTAACCACACAGGACCGCGCAGCAGTAGCCTCCCTGGTCCTGGCACCCTGAGGGGCTCATGGTGAAGCAACATGCTGCTAATCACTATGTGGATCCCTCTCCTCATGCTGACTGTTCTGCCAGGTAAGTGACCACATTTGAACTATCATCAAAATGGTTAGAGTTTAGAAATTCCTCTCTTGGCTAATCTTGTTTGTGCCATGGAAAAACTGCATTCCGAAATCTTGACAAAAGGCGAGCCACAGACAGATCCACAGATGCTCCATTGCATTATAGATAAATATAACAGCAAGGCAACGCAAGGCAAGTTTATTTGTATAGCACAATTCATACACAAGGCAACTCAAAGTGCTGAACAAAATAAAAAGGATTACAATCACAAATAATCACAGTAAATTAAAAATAAAGATAAAAATATAAAATCCCTCAGTTGTATACACAGCTAAACAGACCTGTTTTTAACCTGGTTTTAAACATTGTCAGAGAGGAGGCCTGTCTCACATCTTCAGGAAGACTGTTCCAGATTTTAGCAGCATGAATCTGAAAAGCAGCCTCCCCATGTTTAGTTCTGACTCTGGGCACTAACAGGAGTCCAGTCCCTGTGCTCATCAGAGTCCGGGCTGGTTCATATGGGACTAACATGTCACTAATATATTTTGGTGCGAGGCCATGGAGAGACTTGTACACAAGCAGAGCTGTTTTAAAGTCTATTCTCTGAGCCACAGGAAGCCAGTGCAGAGACCTGAGGACTGGACTAATGTGGTCGTACTTCCTGGTTCTAGTCAGGACTCGAGCTGCTGCATTTTGAATGTACTGCAGCTGTTTTACAGCCTGTTTGGACAGACCTGTGAGCAGGCCATTGCAGTAGTACAATACAATTAATACAATACAATACAATACAATTTATTCTTGTATAGCCCTGAATCACAACAGAAGTCATCTCAGAGGACTGAACAAAACCATTGAAATCACCAACACAGATCAGAGAATCAACAGTTAAAACACATGAGAAATATAAAGAAAATGTCCATACTGTACATGTTGTAGAATGCTAAAGTGTCCTGGATCATCATCAATCCTTTCTGCTGGACACTAACTGTCCAACAAGACCCTCCTGCATCGGCAAGGAAAAACAAAACAAAAAACAGTGGGAAAAAGTGAGAAACCTTGGGGAGACCACATTGAGAAAGGGATCCGCTCCTCCGGACGGACAGGCTATAGATCCAGGACCTGAGCTAGCTAGATAAGCAGCAGATAAAAAGCTGCTGATGTTACTGATTTGATGTGGCAATTAAAATGTAAGTCTGAGTCCAGTATTACCCCTAGATTTCTGACCTTGTTTGAAGGTTTTAGGGAGAGAGACTGTAGGTGACAAATGACGCTCTCTCTTTGTTTCTGGGGACCAAAGACAATCATTTCAGTTTTTTCTGCGTTTAGCTGAAGGAAGTTACTTTGCATCCACTCACTGATCTGACACTAACCATATCTTCTCTCCCATTTCTGTTGTTAAAAGTAGAATATCCAATTAAAATATTTTGGTAACCCTTGCAAAACAATTCACTTCTTTTTGATATTGGAAATGTGTGAAATGTTGTCAAATATTCTTATTATAATCTCATCCATGTCTATTTATATGCTCCATGCAATATGTTTTCCAATTTGAGAAAGTTGTTGTTGCTATTCATTATGAAACCCACTGACTTAGCATCAAGCATCCTATTTCTGGTTTGGAATAGCTGAAGCCGGATGTCCCCCCCTAATCACCTGTGATACTTTTATGCAAAACCCTTACAGCCAAAAAGGACATTGTTCAATCTCCTCAACAGCTACACACAATTGTCTTCTACTTTTAAAATTATTTTGTTAATTTAATGTTTTCATTTTGCTCTCCCCAAGCAAATCTTACTGTTTGGACTCAGGGAAAGGGATGGGACCATTCAAAATACATTATTACTGAAAAATATTAACAGCACAAAATAGTACAGTGCTCCATGGTCAGACATATATACTCTTAAAAAAATTATTTATTCAATGATTTAAGTAGCAAAACATCATCTTTAATAACCTTTTTCATGTATTTGCTGTTTTACTCAGTTGTGTCCGCTGAGGATCCCTGTGCCCTGCCTGTAATTCAGCTGCCTTCTGATATTGTACGAAAAGTTGGCGAAAACCTTTTTGTCAATTGTACTACTCCGGTTGACGGGCATCAGGGCATCTACTGGACATATGACGACGAAAAGCTGGACCAAGAGTTGACTTCATACACTGAGCTGCAAGTACCACACATTAACTGGGATTTCCAAGCAAAGTGCACAATTCTACTCAATAGCACTTATAACTGCAGCGCAAATCTCCAAGTTCAACTAGAAATGAACAGTAAGTAAGACCATATCGACCGGACATAAACACACAAACACGCAGGTCCAGGAGAGAAAGTAAAGATATACAAATGTGGAAGAAAGAAATACATTTGGACTTTAAATTGTCCAACCTGCTGCTCCACATGTGACTCTGTGTACTACCATGCACTCTCGCTGTGGACAGTTCAATAGATGCATATATTAAAGCTGGGGTACCTAAACCCTCACTATTTGGCGCTTTGGGCTCGGAACTGATTGGGCTGTGCAAGAGTGGTCCTCTCTTTTCCATTGTGACAAAAGCCAAATAATACAAACATTTGCTGATTCATTTGAGTAGTAAGTAAGTAATCTTTATTTATATACCACCTTTCACTGCAGGCCAGAGTCTCAAAGCGGTTTACAATTGTTATTATAATTGTTTTTTTTTTTTGGGCATTTGTCTCCCACTCCACAGAGAGACGGGAGCGGGGCCAGTACAGGAGGTGCATGACAGACCTATTGTACATATTTTTAGTGGCAGGGGAAACCTACACAGACACGGGGAGAACATGCAAACTCCACTCAGAAAGACCCTGGTCCAACTGGGATTCGAACCCAGGACCTTCTTGCTGAGAGGCGAGAGTGCTATCCACCAGCCACCGTGCCGAGTAGAAATGATTACATCCATACATTAATACATAACAATCTATACATTACTTTGTTCATGGAGATACCATTAAATTGAATTCTTATTGTTATTATTCTTATTATTTTGGTGGTTTGAAAAAACTCCAACCACAACAATGTTTTTCTTGCTTTACAGTTAAACGCTTGTTATGTTTGAACTTGTATTTTGTTTTGACAGAGGTAAACCAGGTGAAAATCAATGAAACGACAATAGACCAACATGAGTTCAGCTGTGATATCCCTAACGCTGCCCCAGTTGAAAACCTCAATATTACTTGGTTCACCAAAGGCCAAATATTAAAGACCGTTTTCGATAACAAGACACCATCCACCACCGCGGTGTCCTCCCTGGGGATGAATGTAAGCAAGGAGCACGACGGAGAGTCTTTCACCTGTGTAGCGGTTCTGAATCTAGGACCAGATGGACATGTCCTTGTTTCAACCACAACATGGAATATTTCGGTCCAATGTGAGTAAGACTTTTCAACACTCACGGCTTGTACTTTAAATGGTTTGTGATATAATGATATTATGCAAACATTTTGTGTATTAGTCCCTGCTTTTTTGGATCTCTCGTTAACTAATGTGAAACTCCTATTATTACAAAGTATGTCACATTTCTGGTTGATATTTTGGCAATAAGGTCCCATAGTTGAGTAATAAATTTGATTTTCTCCATGAAGAGAAGACCCAAGGCCAAGTGCCAAGTCTGATCTACAGAAGCAAGCCTGCTCAGCTGTTACTCTGAGAAAGCAAAGGATCTGCTATGGAACATTCTTGTCAAAACAATAACTTCTTAGGGGAAAGCAGATGCCAGATCAGAAAAAGGTTAAATTGTACATCTTTTAGTGTGAAGATTTTCCCGTTCTTTTTATTCTGTCTGTAGATGCCCCAAAATTACCTCAAAAAGATCAAAATGACAAACCTACTGTGGCAAAAACAACAACAGCAGCAACAGCAACAGAGGCAACAACAGGAGTTACAGCGGCAGCATCATCATCATCATCATCATCATCAGCAGCAGCAGCAGCAGCAGCAGCAAAGCCGCCTGGTAAATCAATCAACAGAATTTTTCACCTATCTCTACATTCTATTGTTATTGTTCTACTTTTACTTTTTTTTTTTACATGTATTGCAGACTGTCCGGTGACAATAACACCAAATACAATAATTGTCAAATATGGAGAAATAGCTTCAGCCACCTGCAACACAACTGTAGAGCACGATGGAATAGGCTGGGAGGCCACCAATGGAGGCGTCAGCCGAACAGAGGACGTCACTTACTTACAGTGGAATTGGACGATAAAGGATTTTAAAGACTTCAATATTGAGGTGGAATGCTTTATAAATCCTATAAATGGAACTCATTGTAAGAAGCCACTGGGTATCACAGTTTACAGTAAGTGCCACTATTTTACTACTGAGATAAGAATAAATTAAAATATACAAGGACATTAAATTCATAAAAAAAAAATCATAGTACGATAAAAAGAGGTGGGATACAATCCTCCTGTTGTATAACCTGGATTTGAACATTGTCAGAGTAGAAGCATGTCTTCATCATCATGTCAGGAAGACTGTTCCAGATTTTAGCTGCATGATTCTGAAATGCTGCCTCCCCATGGTTAGTTCTGACTCTGGGCACCAGCAGGAGGCCAGTCCCTGTGCTCCTCAGAGTCCCAGCAGGAGCCCAGTTCCTCTGCTCCTCAGAGTCCCAGCAGGAGCCCAGTTCCTCTGCTCCTCAGAGTCCCAGCAGGAGCCCAGTTCCTCTGCTCCTCAGAGTCCCAGCAGGAGCCCAGTTCCTCTGCTCCTCAGAGTCCCAGCAGGAGGCCAGTCCCTGTGCTCCTTAGATTTGGGGTTGGTTCATATGGCACTAACATATGTACTCACAGATGTATTTGGTGTGAGCAATGGAGACACAAACAGATCTGCTTTGAAGTCTATTCTCTGAGCTGCAGGAAGCCAGTGCTGAGGCCTATGCTCTGTTTAATGAGCTTATCCACATGAAACAAAACTGAATAATAACGTTCTACACATTGTTTGCAATCCCTTGTAACAAATAATAATATGCTTTGTTTGTGGATCATGAATGTGAATATATTTCATAGTTTGGTTCTCCTCTGAAAAATAATTTGAGACAGTTAACTCTGAAAGAGAGATGTAAGAAGCATGCATAATGGGGTAGAGGTTTGTTTATTATCAGTAACAAGTGGTATAGTCTATTGGAGCCTGGTTTAGCTTCTGTTATCATGAGTAATAAAACCTCCAGAGAATAAAGCAACATCCTCACATTTTGATCATCACTGTTATCTGAAATAATTTATTTTTCTATGGATGGATATCTCTATAAACTAAACGATTGTGCCGTCATGTTACAACAGTTTCAAACTCAATTTTGGGACTAATTATTAAGCTGGATACTTGATCCCAATCTGTTGGTGATGGTGACTGTTTTAAAAAGTGCTCCTCTGGACAATAAGATTCCAACACAAAATCAAACTTTTTCAGTGGTTTCCCCTCAAAACATGAACCATAGGTAAAATCCTCCAGCAAAGGTCCCGACCAAGATCATGAGCAGTTCTGTTTGTGTTAAAGGAGCAATATGTAATATTTGCATGTCAAGTCATCATTAAATGACCCGAATATTTCAAAAGGCGTTATTAAATCATACTCTTTTCGAATTCATCTTTAACTGATAACAGTAGTTCAGCCGAGATATTTGATTATCAAAATTAGTTTTACGACCCGTAAAAGTTGTTATTGTTTTGATTTTGATGTCCTACCCTCCGCCGTTTCGCCAATCAGGAAGTGTCATGTAAGTCCGTGATCAGGTTGCCAGAACTCCGTGCGGCTCATTAATCTCAGTGGTAAAATAACATGTGGCGTAGAACTAAAAAAGGTCTTGTTATGACTCTCAAATCATTAATGACAAAACAAAGACTAAAACGAGGATTTATATCGGGATGCCTTTGAACAATTGAGACAGCTTATAAAAGTTCACGTGTGATGCAGAATTTTCTAGTTTGAGTTCGTTCTTCACAGTTTCGTTATACGTGCGAATCGGTGGTCTTGTGCTCTAAGCAGTGCGCCGACGACGCAGGCACCCGGGTTCGATCCCGGGCTATGTCTTTCTGTATTTATTGCATGTTATCACATTCTATGACAGATTACTCTAAAAACGGTAAAAGATGAAGGTCAAGACATTTTTTTTGCAGATTATAGCTTAATTGTAAAAATAATCATTTAAGACCACATGTACCCCAATTAAAATAATGTTAGTCTCTTTTTGATGTGGGACTTTTACATGTTTGTCTAAAAAATAGGGAATAAATAACATTGAAAGGTGATATCCTCTTGAGCAAACCTTGATGTTGATACGCTGAAGAAATACGTTCCAACATCCATTCATCCCACTCCTATTTTGGACATCAATTGCTTATTTATTTTGCATAAACAATGTATAATTACATTGCTTTTATTTTGTTTTTGATTTTTTATCTCAAATGTCCAAATAATAATAATAAAAACACATTAATCAAAACATTCATTCAGCATTAGCACGGCTGTCATGGCAATGTGAATGGAGACGGACAAACAACTGATAAAATAATTCCCTGTGTTTGCTGCTGGATTTGGTGTGAATCTGGCAACCTGAGTCAGGGAGAGAGGGAGAGGACTACAAAATATTGACTGTGACTGCAGTACCACTTTTGGCCAGATTTTTAGGCAAGGCAAGGCAAGGCAAGTTTATTTATATAGCACAATTCATACACAAGGCAATTCAAAGTGCTGAACAAAACAAGAAAGCATTAAAATCATAAATAATCACAGAACATTAAAAAGAAAGATACAAATATAAAATCCCTCAGTTGTATGCACAGCTAAACAGAACTGTCTTTAACCTGGCTTTAAACATTGTCAGAGAGGAGGCCTGTCTCACATCTCCAGGAAGACTGTTCCAGATTTTAGATTTTAGATTTTTTACATATTGCTCCTTTAAAAATTATTGATTTTTTAACACGACAACTAAACAATTGAATTTAATGTTGCAGATATTCCAAATAGTGTGCAGATCTCTCCAGTCGAGAACATCCCAGTTGAAGAGGGCAACAAACTCACGCTCAAATGTGACATTTTGAATATAGCTCCCATTAACAAGCTCCGAGTGAATTGGTACCAGGAGGATACACTGGTCCACACGGAAGTGTTCAATGGATCTGACCCTCATCCCTTAAATGTGACCTCATTTTGGGACCTGACGCCTGAGAAAGAGCACAACAACATGGGCTTCAAGTGTGAGGTGGAACTTCGTCTCGGACAAAACCTAAAAGTCGTGTCAGCATCGTACACCCCTGTTGTCCAGTGTAGGTCTGATTGTATTCATTGTTTAACGTTAACATTGATTATAATGACATCGATTACCCATACTGTTTCATAGATAAACCCAGAATCAACCCAGATTGTCCAAAGGAATATGGCGGTAAAGAGGACGAGTTTACGTTGGATACAGTGCCATGTAAAGCCAGTGGAAATCCTCAGCCCAATATTTACTGGTACTTCAAGGACAAACTAGTTGATTCTACAAAGACTCTGACCAGGAATGATTCGGGTGAATACACAGCTAAATTTGAGAACACCGTTGGAAGTACCAACACCACCTTTGCCATCACGATTGAATGTGAGTTGGGATTATTCTATAAGTAAAGGTGAAAATGCATTTGCTGGAATTAAACATGTTATCTTTATGTTTTTTGTAGACAAACCTTACTTTTCTTGCAAAGACCATTACAACGTGAGAGAAAACACCGATATAGGATCTGTGTGTGAACCAGCAGGAATACCAAAGCCAGAGCTGTTGTGGGTTAGAGATGAAAAGCAGGTGGAGTTTTCAAAGTGGGAAAGATGTGACAGTGGAGATTATGTAATAGTAGCAACCAACAAACATGGCAAAGCTCAGCACAATATCAGCATCAATGTTTTATGTAAGTATTAAAAATGCAACACAAAATATCACAGCACAACAGAAATGTGTACTTTGTAATTTACAGTAATGGATACTTTTTAAAAACACGTTCATATGTCTGTAAATTTGAGAGCTTCTACTTCAAATCTGTTTTGAACTGGACAAAAATGAACGATAAAAGTAATGTTTCAAAGAGATATGTTTACGAAATGGATACATTTCAAGTTCAAGCTCCAGATTTAAAAATTAAAAATAAATCGTCCTATAGAAAATTTTTGACCCAACAAAACCGTAGAGAATGATATTTTCTGGCCAAGGAAGCTGCATGGAGCAACAGGGGGAAACACAATACATAAAACAATAAAAAAATATACATATTGATATTAAAAACAAGGGCTTTAACAACTGCTTAAACATTTCAAACATCTTAAACACAATATCTATATTTCTGCAAAATACTTTTTATTTTTACTTTGCATTTGAAGGGGTAAATCCATCACTGTTTAAACAAATACTAGATTACTCTCTACCTGTGAAAAAAATATAACTAGAACTTACTCTACTTTGTTAATAGTTGCCCCAAGTTTTCCAGAAGACATAACTCAAGAATTCCACATGGGGGAAAATCTCACCGTAGACTGTCGTGCTGATGGGAACCCCCTGCCTCAGCTTCACTGGAAATATCCCCCTGCTGCAAACGTAAACACAGCCAGCAGAGGGCGCCAGATTCACATTACAGAGGCCACATCCACCAACGCGGGCGTCTACAGCTGCAATGCCACGAATGAAGTTGGAAGCGTTACAAGAACTGTCACACTCATAATGAAAGGTATTATTTTTAAGTTGGATTAAAAGAGACAGAATGATTTTGGGCATGATTTGCACTGTCTTGTTATTTCCTCTTTTTTCTATTTCAGGAAAAACACACATGGACCACATTTACGGCATCATATCGATCTCTGTTGTACTTGCTTTGCTCTTTTTCATATTTGGGGTTGTTCTGATTTGCCGCAACTGCAGAAAGAAATCAGGCCACTATGATGTCATATCTGATGATGTGCCACTGAATCCAAGATCCTCCGTGATTTAGGATTAGCCTTTATTTATTTATGAATGAGTTAAAACAATTAAAACAATGTCTGTTATTCATATTTAATAAGTTATCAATGTATACAGTGCCTGTTCTTTAGGCTCTCGGGGGGCCATAGCAAGTTTAGTTTCAGGGGCTCATTCAAAGCCAGGGGGACCTTACATTTTTTTGACTATATTGATATTTTGTACATGGAAATAAAAGCTTTAAAAAAATACGTTTGCCATTGGTGCAGTGAATACATAGAAACATGTCTGGCAAAGAATACTCTAGTTTCAGGCCTGGGTGAGAACAACAGTGACAACAGTTACAAAGGATGAGAGAAGAGCTCCTCCCATTGGGCAGAACCACACTGAAAACATGGTCCTGATAAATATTTGAAAGTTGTGCTGGTCTGCGATGAAAAATAATCTCAAAATGTGTGTGACATTTTTGGGGCCCTATAAGCCCATGTATTGGTTAGGGCCGGCCCTGGTCAATTTGGTTCTGCTTGAGATTGAGTTTTATTTCTAGCTCTATTTTATGTTGAAGGAGTGAACAAGACTGTTTTCTGCCTTGTTTACATATTGTTTGCATGTTTTGTACAGGGTGCACTGGCGTTTCAAGCAAAACCTAAGCAACATTTTTCCCTATGCTTGTTCAAATCGATTTATATAAATATTTTATTTTTTACCCTGACTAACTCAACAATTAAAAAACACACACAGCAAACATTTCACCTGAAGAGAGGCTTAACACCACCAGCAGAGAGTGTCAGTGGGTTAAATAGTCTTGCAGCTCAGCGTGTGCCTGGCCCTTTAAGAATTAGGATTTGAGAGAGTGACGCGGATATGAACGCTACTTTATCCCTGCTCTTTCCTTCGCTATGAAAAATATTTGGGCAGACTGAACTAAAGACCACCAGCCCTGGATAATCGGTTAATTAAAATGTCGCTTCCCTGCCTTCGCTAACCCGAAGTCTCCGTGCATGATCTTAAAGAAGGACTTAGTTGCACAGGATTTACTTGACGGGCCGCGATCTTCCCTCTCTCTCTCTGGGATAACTTTGGATAACTTCTTTGTAGCTGAGGGAGACTGCTACTCTGCTTGGCCCGAAGGCTGAACATGGACTGGGGCACGGAACTTTGGGTAAGTGCACATGTTTTATTTTCATTTGGTTTAAATCGTCATACGTGCGTTTTATGGCTGAGTTTTCCTCGACAGCGTCTGCTTCTTAGATCCACCGCTAAACCTTTTACGCGGTGCATGATGCAGTCTGGCTCGGTCTCTCCACGGTCCGCTCTTCTCACCGCTTTGGCTACATGTTGTATTACTGGGATGTTTACAAACCTGACACTTTGTTATCATATTGGACCCTCTTTTTGAACGCACACATCATTGCTTTGTGTAGTTTTTGCTGTGCGTAAAGTTGGTCAACAAAGCGTGATCCATGACCAACCAGGCTTATTAGTGTAGGTTTGATGCACAGGCTAAAAGCTGACGTAGTTGTCTTGAGGGATGCTTCATTGTTTACACCTTGGCGCACCTTGCTTCCATAGAGATGTGTCTGATGCCTAAAAAATTGCCTCATCAACATATCTGAGATCTCAAAATAAAGCTTGATTTTATGAGCTTGAAATCCTCAAAATGATGTGCAGCATATTTCATAGTTTCTTTTACAGTGCATAGGCAAATAAGATTTCAATTGTTTGCTTATGCATTGACAAAAACGTTGCCTATTTATGTTTCACCTCCTTGGATTTGTAAGTGAATGTTGATTTGGGTGCTTTCACATTTCACAACAACATAAATGGAAGTATTTATTCCTAAGAGCCCATTTATATAGGGCCGTTTCAAATGGAAAGAATGCTGATTTTAGTTATCAACATTCTTAGGTACTTTTTTCTGTTAGTAAGAAGCAATGGTGGCAGATTTTCAGCTTTAAACGCAAGAGAAAAGTGTCAAAAGTTAATATTCACTGTTGCATCTTTTGCTATGTTTACAAGTGCCACAAAACCATCTAATCCCTTCTACCTTGATGCCTGGCGCCCTAACCACAGCAATAAGCTCACACATGGCTGCAAGCATTCTCGAGAAGCCCTGGGTATATAAACTGGAGCAATGCAAGATGAGGACAGGGAGGTTGAGGCCTCATTACAAACCCTCTCCCCCTGGGCCCCTCCACTGTCCCCTTTCCATCCCACTGCTGGTGGAGCAACAGCATAATTAGTTATGTGTCCTACTTTGATCGAGTCCATGCTACATGCATCACCTCATATCATTGTCATAAGTCATTTTATTATTAGGGCTTCCACTTCGATCAGGCGTGTAAAATATTCCCTTCCTGATATTGACAAAGCACAGGGCTATGGATTGATGATCCGTTAAACATAACTTGAAATACAAGCAATATATTGATATAAGCCATCAAACCTGTATTAATGAGTAAAACATCAATACAATAGTATGTATTGTTTCTTATAAGAGATGGGCACTGGAAATGTGCAGCAAAAAGTGTTAAATTAAAGATATGTGCTACTTTACAAGGAATTTGGAGGATGGAGAAAAATGAACTGAGGGCTTCATTTGGCCCGTGGGCCATAGTTTGGACACGAGTGCTTTGAATTTTACCTGTAGGCTTTTTACATTCATCCAAATAGACAATCAATAAAAACAACAAACATGACAAAGTGCCGTTCACACCTTTTTTTAGGCTAAATCTTTTTAACTTGTGTCCATCAATTTCTTTGTCTGTTCTTAAAGCTCATCTGTGGTTATTTTTTTGATTAATCTCAAACCAATAAATCAGAAAACGACTACAGTATATGTATTTTGAGACATGTAAAATTATGTATTATTATCATTATCATCATTATCAATCCTGCAAGTTGATAAGAATTAAAAAATTATAGCGGTGACCACAAAAAAAATCTCTCGGGCCACATTTGTGTTTGCAAAGATCAAAAATTGATAATGAGGAGCAATATGTAATACTTTTTCTGAACTAAAGTTAAAGTGGAGTTATTATTAATTAAAATGTTTACAATTTTTCTCAAGCAGTCTAACCACTCAGAGAGTAGAATGAGGCTGTCATTTGAGTTGCCAGTTTGTTAGAGCCAACAACACTTTAACCTCACCTATATCTTTCACACACAAAAATAGCACCACACATTTTATTCCAAATGAAAGCGGATACAAAAAAAAGTAATTCAGATTTGGCACTGTTTTTAGCTAAACCCCAACAGGTTGATTGCATCAGTAATCATTGATTAGGAGCCACATATGTCAGACTGAGAGATTCTGGCAAAAAATTGTGATTTTAAGTGGAATGACTTTATTAGACCACTAAGAATGCACATTACATACATTTAAAATAATTGAAATACTGCTTTATGTGCTGCTATTTGTTGTTTTACTGGTTCAGTAAAAGTGCATTTGACACATTTCACTCACGAGAAAGTTGGTTTATTATTAATTATTCATTCCATACACTTCAATGGACAACCCAGCTAGTTTGTAGTCGTTGTTAAAGCCAGAATCTTCCCTCTTATTTGTTGTACTATCATGTATCGTCGTTAATTGCTTCTCATTATTTGTGTGTAGTAATCCTTCCTTGGGCCAACTCAACCGTGTGGCATCTGCTCCTTGATTGTTGTTAATCCAAAGGCTATTTTAAGGTGCGTGTATTAGCCTGTGGTGGAGAGAAAGCTGCCGGTGAATGAGCTCCAGCGCGGTAGGTTTGGCTTCATAGTGACTCAGGACTGAAATATCTTTGAGCCTCGTGGACCAGACTTATAGGGTTACACCTTTTAAAGTTAGGTTCTGGTTGTGTGACAGTTTTGTCTGTGGGATTACTGGAAACACTGGGGGATAAATAGAACCAGACTCTCAAGATATTTTTATTGTACTAGAAGCAACAAATGACTGTGCCACGTTCTGGATATGGAGATGATGGTTATTGAACTTTGTATTAACATTAACTAGAAGAGCACGTTGACTTTTTTAAACAACAATATGTAATTTACTTAAACTCCAGAAATGGAAAAATTTGATTCCAATTGAAAAAAAACTATGAATACAAGACAATATTGATAATGTATTGTTTAATGTTTGCAATTTGAATCTCCAGCTGATACATTTGTACTGAGATTTATTATATCTTGATGCTATCAAAATTGGATATTAATCAATATTTCCACAACTTGTGTGGGGGAGTGTGCTCTCCTTCTTATAGCTGTAATGCATCACACTATGCCCTGAAAGTGGCATAGTGACATTTTGTAAATTTCAACCTTTTCTTTAAATTTGTTAAGAAAATTAACAATTGGGAACTCTATGGAGATTAAATTGATAATTCAGTGATACTTTATCATAAGGCTAAAGATTTGTAAACATTGAAGAATATTCATAATCTGTTATGTTTACTGTGGGTAGTGTGGGATTGGAATCTCCATAGACTCTATCATTGGACACATCAGTGGTGGATTTTGCAGTGCAAATATTGGATTTGGAGTCTCCTGTGTCAGGCCAGGTTTGCTGACCAATCCATCCAAAATCCTGGGAGACAAACTGGAACACCTCGTTAAGGAATTTTTAAGATCAGGGTGTGATTAACTTTTTTATGCAATTATTGAGACTGATTTTTTTTTTAAGGGGTTAATTCCACACAGTTCCTCAAAGGTGTACCAGTAAATAATGTGGTGTGACTCCAGAATGGGAAAAACACACTGTTTTTAAGATGTTGTCTCATTAACAAATCCCCCGGGGCTACTTGTTTTTTCCTTGTCTGATTGTAGTGATTGATAACAGAGCTGCCCTGAACTGTGTTCTGTAATTAGTCTTCACATTGGCTCGTTCAACTGGTCTTTTGTTTTACCTGAAGGGCGGAATAAGGGTACCCAGAGCATGGCTCGACCTGTCAGGAATCCCCCTTCTCACAAAGGCTAACACCAGACTCTTGCCTCCAGCCATGTTTTATTGCAGAGTCTGTCTGAGCATGGATTCCTTTACGAAACTATAAAAGAGGTGTAGAATGGTAGTATTACAGATGATTTCACTGTACAATCTTGACAATATGATGTGAAGGCGAAGTGTATCTAGTTTTAAACTTCTAATGTACACTGTTGTATGAGTGATACACTGCCTTTTAATTCTCACAATTATGTATGTCATGTCATGGCATGTCATGTCATTGTCTTCCCCTTTTATTAATCAATTTCTAGGTCGGGGGGATCTGCTATCCAAATCTCATAGCACCAGTCCCTCACTGTTTCATCGACGAGATGGCCTTGGTCTTTCAGTAGGGGCTTCAGGGGATGTGGTATTAAGTGTCTTGCCAGGGACACAACAACAGCAGACATCGGTGGGAGCAGGTGACATGGGTCGTGGTGGGCTCGAACCCACGACCATTTGGTCCAAAGACCTGTTCCCAACTGAGCTACTGTTGCCCCAATTATGTCCTTACTCCGTTTCTATTGTATATAGTATTACTCAATAAGGTCATTCCAGTGACGAGCCTGGAATACATATAATGGAATAACATGATTTGCTGAACAAGACGAAGGTTACAGTATTTCTTCCTTGGAGGACATCTGTCTGTTGGCTGAATATTGCTGTGTTTGCAGATGAAAAACTGGATCTTTATCAAAACATTTGGAAAGCACAGATGTGTGACCTCAATATGACTAGAGCCAGTTATGAGTGTGCACACTGGACTGGACTCCATCCCGTGGTGTAATGTCTTTTCCATAATTGTATCCCATGGTTTTCTTTTTCTTCCCCAGGACCAATGCGACATCCTCGAGAAGCACACACAGTCAGGCCTGGAGCTGGTGGAGAAATACGTCAAGTTTGTGAAGGAGAGAACAGAGATTGAACAAAACTATGCCAAACAACTGAGGTATGCCCCCCTCCGCTGCCCGAGCTTTGGATTCTTGTGTGTTGAGTTGTGATGGCACCAGTGCATCTCACAGCACTGTTTATTAAATGTTTGTGTCCGTCTTGTGACCGCTTTGGGACAGAATCAAACTTGTCTGAAACACTAGACTCATTCTCCAGCTGCAGTGCTCTCTCTCTCTCCCCTGTCATCCATATGCTTGCTCGCCCCCTCCCACATCTGTGCTGAGCGGAGGAAGTGGGAGCAGACTGGCACATGATAGGCAGGAAGTGGTTAGAAGAACACTGAAAACAGCATAAATAGAAAATAGGTTTCATTTTCAGGAATGCGCAATATATTGTCTTTATTGGTATTGGGCAATATTTGCATCGTATTTCTTTAATATTAATATAAAACATTCTGAACCAAAATAGGGTGGACACTTGTATACTTTTTTTGTTTGTTAGGTTTGGACCACTCTAGTTTAGTCGCTGTGAAGTTTAAATAATGGAGCTGTGCCGGCTGACGCATGCGCAGATGCAATTTTTCATAATTTTCTCGTGGGCGGGACCACTCGCGGCCATTTTGGATAGCTCCAGTAGAGCACATTTTTTGGCCCATTTGTTAGAACGGCGGAGATAAGCATGACTACGTCTGTTAATATTTACAGTCTATGCTTGTCCCATTAGTCTATTCATACGCCAGGCATTTAAAAGTGCCTTACAAAATCATAAAGAGATAAAACGGACATTGTCATAGTAGAAGCCTGACTACACAATCTGAAATGCTGATTCTCGAATGGTTAGCTGTGACTAACCAGAGGCCAGTCCCTCTGCTCCTCAGAGTCAGACTTGGTTCATATTGTACCACCAGGTCTCAGATGTACTTTGGTGTGAGGCCATGGAGAGACTTGAACACAAACCCTAACCCTGCTTTAAAGTCTATTCTCTGAGCCATGGAAGGCCATAATAACCCTATAACAGCCAAAATTACTGAAATGTGACAATTCTCTATACAATGTAAAGTCACTCTTTATCAATGTGATTGTCTATGATTAAGATAATATTCTCGGATCATTTTTGATAAATTAAATAATGGAAAGTTTAGTTTTTTTCTTAATTTTTTCTTATGTTTAGTTTTTTCTTATATTTGAATTTGTCTAAGTTGAACATACTAATAATAATTTTTAGTTCATAATTGATGTACTTATTTGTTTGTGGGGATGTGTGTTTCTGCTGCTGGACACTATTTATTGACAGGAGACAAGAAAAGCATTTTTCGTTTTTGTCATTTAGAAAAGGTTAAAACAAATTTTCAGTTTTTTATTCTTTTGTGACATTTGAATACACACCTTTTTTATCCTTTCACCTAGGAGATTTTTATTCAAATATATTAGACAGAACCATCTGCGAGTGCTCATGCAACGTGTCACATGATGTGTAATCAGTTAGCAACCGGAAGTTACCCCGGCGATGCAAACTTTACAATAACCACTCTCAAACATGATTTCTATCTTCAACAGGAACCTATCAAAGAAGTACAATCTTAAAAGAAGCAGCAAAGATGAAGCAGATTGCAGGTGAGCCACGACGTTTGCCGAAGCTGACACTAATTGACTGCATAACAAGCCATATTCTTACTTCAGATTCATTTTACTTTCACAAGATGTTAGTTGTTATGTGCATACAGCCTTCCCCATCTGCACTCAGGAATCAAACATCCTCCAAAGCAGTAACTGCGATGTAATTTCAGAAGAGGCAGAAATAGGTTTGAACAATGCAAGACAATACCGGCTGTTCCCAAAATGGCGGCGTAATAAGGAAATGCCTGTCCTCATACAGCCCACTGCAGCCTTCTCTTTGAGTCCGGCCATTTATCATCTTATCTTTTGACCCTTGTCGCCTTGTCCCTTTATTCTCCACCCTTTCCTCTCTCCTCCCCTCAAACCACAGGCTGTCCAGCTTCCAGGCCCTCCTTGACATCCTGAACGAGATGAATGACTATGCAGGCCAGAGGGAGCTGATTGCTGAAAACATGATGATGAACATATGCATCGATCTCACAAAATATCTGCAGGAAATCAAGCAGGAAAGAAAGACGGTATGCTCGTCTCGTGAGCTTCTAATAATGCGCCTTACTGTGGATGTATGAACTTATTACCAGTGGGAATACATTTAGTCTTGAACACATACGACACAGCAGTAGAAGTGTTGAAAACAGGAAGTGATTTGTCCTCTTTAGGGAGTCTGGCTTTATCAATTTGGGAATGTTTTAGTATTGTCATTGCGCTGCAGTAGCATGCAGCTGTGCGCAGACGTGATGTCTCAGGCAGACACTCTGGTATTTGTTTTTGGCTGGTATATTGTGTGGTTTTTAGAGGTCATTGTTTATTCTATGTCTCCCCTACATATAACTGCGTGTCTCCCTGTCATCTGACCCTCCTCCTCTCACTCCGTCTATTTTTATGAATGTCTGCAGTATCTTATGGAGGCCAAGAAAGCCCAGCAGAATTTGGAAATCACTTACAAGCAGCTCGATAGTGTAAGTTTAGAACCCATTTCAATGTTTTGTTTTATGTCAAAAGCTTTTGTCATTGTCACATTTTATTAGTACACTGCCAACATCCATCCATCCATCCATTTTCTTCCGCTTTATCCGTTGCCGGGTCGCGGGGGCAGCAGTCTAAGCAGAGACGCCCAGACTTCCCTATCCACACACACTTCCTCCAGCTCGTCCGGGGGGACCCCAAGGCGTTCCCAGGCCAGCTGAGAGACATAGTCCCTCCAGCGTGTCCTAGGTCTTCCGCGGGGCCTCCTCCCGGTGGGACGTGCCCGGAACACCTCCCCAGGGAGGCGTCCAGGAGGCATCCGGAACAGATGCCCGAGCCACCTCAACTGGTTCCTCTCGACGTGGAGAAGCAGCGGCTCTACTCCGAGCTCCTCCCGTGTGACTGAGCTCCTCACCCTATCTCTAAGGGAGCGCCCAGCCACTCTGCGGAGGAAGCTCATTTTGACCGCTTGTATCCGCGATCTCGTTCTTTCGGTCATTACCCAAAGCTCATGACCATAGGTGAGGGAGGGAACGAAGATTGACCGGTAAATCGAGAGCTTTGCCTTTCGGCTCAGCTCCCTCTTTACCACAACGGTCCGATACAGCAACCGCATCACTGCGCACGCTGCACCGATCCGCCTGTCAATCTCACGCTCCATTCTTCCCTCACTCGTGAACAAGACCCCGAGATACTTGAACTCCTCCACTTGAGGAAGGACCTCTCCACCCACCTGAAGAGGGCAGGGCACCTTTTTCCGGTCGAGCACCATGGCCTCAGATTTGGAGGTGCTGATTCTCATCCCAGCCGCTTCACACTCGGCTGCAAACCGTCCCAGTGAATGCTGCAGGTCCTGGTTCGTTGGAGCCAACAGGACAACATCGTCCGCAAACAGCAGAGATGAAATTCTGTGGTCCCCGAACCGGACCCCCTCCGACCCCTGGCTGCGCCTAGAAATTCTGTCCATAAATACAGTGAACAGAACCGGTGACAAAGGGCAGCCCTGTCGGAGGCCAACATTCACCGGGAACAGGTCTGACTTACTGCCGGCAATGCGAACACAGCTCTGGCTCCGGTCATACAGGGACCGGATGGCCCTCAGCAGAGGACCCCCGACCCCGTACTCCCGGAGAACCCCCCAAAGGACACCCCGGGGAACACAGTCGAACGGCTTCTCCAAATCCACAAAGCACATGTGGACAGGTTGGGCGAACTCCCATGAACCCTCGAGTATCCGATGGAGAGTATAGAGCTGGTCCAGTGTTCCGCGACCGGGACGAAAACCACACTGCTCCTCCTGGATCCGAGATTCGACCATCGGCCGTAGCCTCCTCTCCAGTACCTTGGAGTAGACCTTACCGGGGAGGCTGAGGAGTGTGATCCCATGATAATTGGAACACACCCTCCGGTCCCCCTTCTTATAGAGAGGGACCACCACCCCGGTCTGCCACTCCATTGGCACCGCCCCCGATCGCCACGCGATGTTCCCGATCACCCCTCTCCAAGTGTCACTGGCGTTTCCCACATGGGCGTTGAAGTCCCCCAGGAGAATAACGGAGTCCCCGGGCGGTGCACCGTCCAGTACCCCTCCCAAGGACTCCAAGAAGGCCGGTTACTCTGCACTGCTGTTAGGCCCGTAGGCCGTCACAACAGTGAGAGACTTGTCCCCCACCCGGAGGCGGAGGGACGCGACCCTCTCATTCACCGGGGAGAACTCCAACACGTGGCGGCTGAGATGGGGGGCAATGAGAATGGCCACCCCAGCTCGCCGCCTCTCCCCGCGGGAAACACCAGAAAAGTGGAGCGTCCAACCCCTCTCAAGGAGTTGGGTTCCAGAGCCCAAGCTGTGTGTGGAGGTGAGGCCGACTATCTCTAGTCGGTATCGCTCAACCTCCCCCACAAGCTCGGGCTCCTTCCCCCCCAGTGAGGTGACGTTCCACGTCCCGAGAGCCAGCTGTTGTGTGTGCGGACTGGGTCGTCGAGGTCTCCGCCTTCGACTGCTGCCCAGTCCTCTCTGCACCATGCCACCACGGACCCCTCTGCAGGTGGTGGGCCCACAGGAGGGACTGCCCACGTCGTCCATTCGGGCTGAGCCCGGCCGGGCCCCGTGGGCTAAGGCCCGGCCACCAGGCGCTCGCCTACGAGCCCCGACCCCAGGCCTGGCTCCAGGGTGGGGCCCCGGCTGCGCCATGCCGGGCGACGTCACTGGTTTCGTATGAGTGCTGTCCATGGTGTCTTCTGGACTGCTCTTTGTCTGACTCGTCACCCGAGACCTGTCTGCCATGGGAGGCCCTACCAGGGGCATGAAGCCCCAGACAGCATAGCTCCCAGGATCATCCGAGTACTCAAACTCCCCCACCACGTTAAGGTGGCAGTCCAGTGGGGCCAACAGTGTTTATGAAATGTGATGTGAAAAACTGAAACTGGAGCCATGCACACATATTCTTGAATTCGCAGAGTAAAAAGCGTTTTGAGAGGGAATGGCGAGAAGCAGAGCGTGCAGCACAGTATGCAGAAAAGACCGACCAGGATATCAATGCCACAAAAGCAGATGTGGAAAAAGTAAGATGTCACGCACAATCAATACAATGTCTCTTTTTACAAATGCATGTGTGTATTGACTGTCATTGTGTTCCCAGGCCAAGCAGCAGGCTCATATGAGAGCACATGTTGCAGAAGAATGTAAAAACGACTATGCTGCTCAACTTCAAAAGTACAACAAGGAGCAACACCAATTTTATTTTAATGATATGCCTGTAATATTTAATGTATGTTCCTATAAGTTGTAAGTTATAATTCACCTTTTAAGCACCAGATAATTTATATTAAGTATATTTTTCTCCAGAAATTGCAAGATTTAGATGAGCGGCGAGTAAGAAAGCTAGCGCAAGGATACAACTTGTTTTCTGAAACAGAAAAACATGTGATGCCGATCATTGGCAAGTGCCTCGAAGGCATTACTAAAGCTGGCACTAGTGTTAATGAGAGGAATGTGAGTTGGCCACAAGAAAATACTTGAACATACATGCCATTTGTTCCAGTGCATACTTTTAATCTTGATTTGTGATGTATGCACTTCTGTAACTACAGGACTCCATGGTTATAATAGAGCAGAACAAGTCCGGTTTTGAGCGTCCTGGAGATCTCGACTTTGAGGACTTCAGCCAAGGCATCAGCAGGACTTCCTCTGACACAAGCTTGAGCACCCCTAAAGGCCCCATGGACCTGCTGGGAAAGAACCGGGGCAAAAACTTTTGGCTTTTCAGCAAAAGGAGTAAGGTAAAAAAAAACAACATTAACAAAAGGATGACCATTTGGCAATTATAGTTTAACCGGATGCATTAAAAGTCCTTTATAAACTCAGAATTATTTTCAATTAGTCGGGTCGAAAAGCATGTGATTGTAGCTTTAACCCAATGGGAGGTATGAAACGTGTGAGAATGTTTTTAGAGGGCACTCTGGATGGACTCGTGTGCTACACACTCACAGCGCCGACTCGGCCCTCTCCAGTTCACCATAACAAAGCTTGTAGCATGTCTCTCTCTGATGTACAGCAGCACGGGTTCTTTGCATGGTACTGTCCTCTGTAGATGAATAGACTGACCCACACCTCTCTCCCTCTAGTGTGCTTTCCAGTAGGTCATTGAGCAGGCTGCATTCTGCTGTGCTGGTGCTTTCATCAGCATGGGCCTAAACAACACTGTTTTCCTCTACAGCTATCCCAAACACTGCTGCTATTATCCCACCCAGAACTCCCTAGCATTATGTCCTGCATCACAATCAAATCTTTGTACTAAATAATCAGGATGACAAAGGTTTGATAGGACACAACTGGATACTAACTTTTACTTGGTTATTACTACTTTAAAAAGTCAGAATAATTGTTTGTCTAGTTGAGTCTAGTTGAGCTGTCCCAGGAGAAGTGTATTTATGTGATACCTAACCTCCTAGCACTAACTCCTACAACTCTACAAGACCCTGCTTCATCTTCTGCATTATTTGTTCAATTTCTTTTTTTCTGTGTCTTTGGCCATAGTCTCGGTACACTGTTGTGTGTATGTGTGTGGCACACTGCTCTGTGTTATCAGTCATGCTCTCCCAATTAGGCCTGGAGTCGTATGAATGGCAGATTGACCAAACTTACTTGAATGGGCTTTGGGTTTACGCCTGGCCCATAAACACTCCAATTTCAGCTACTCTCCTCTACTTAAGAGTCCTATAACTCTTGTGCAAAGTGGCACATTCTCTAAGTATTTACGTAATAATAGTACTTAAGCCCGTCTTCACACAGGACATTTATCATCAACTGCAAAAAATTTACTGTTCAATAGCCTCAATAATTATAACAAATGCCTCAATAATTATGATAATAAATGAACAACAGACTACAAATTTCACTGTTGTATGCTCTGCTCCAGTGACCTATAGCTTCTTATTATAGCTATATAGGTCAGAGCGCGAGCTAGCAAGTGGGTCTGATATTTTACAGGAACAATCTGTCTCATAAATCACGTGTAGCATGGTGGTAATACAAAACAATCTGAAATTGGTTTTGTTTGCCAATTTGTTCTGTATTGTTGATGATACAAATGAATGTAAAGAGTTTGTAGAAACATCTAGGCCAATACTAAATGTAAATGATATTGCCAACAAGTGAAGACGATAATTGCTGCTTCTTGCTGGTATCACTGGTGTAGGGCTGCACTGTGGGGCGCTTGCAATGTTAATGTTTTATTGTTCTTTGGGTTTGCTTAAATGTTGTCTTTCTGGCTTCATGGTGTTGATGGTGTCTTTTTCTTTCCCTTGTCACATGTTGTTTTTCCCTCTACCTGTCTGTCCCCCTTCTTTCCCCGCCCTCCAACTATAACCCAAACTCAAACTTTTATCGGTGGCGGGCGACCGTGGCTTTTGCCCCCCTCAGCTTACCCCTTCTTCTTTCCCACCGTTCTCCTCACCCCCCGCCCCCTCGCCCGCTAATGGACCCCCTTCCCCAAAGTTTGGCCGGGACACTCTGTCATACTGTTTGAAGGAGATCAATAAGACAGTCAAACCCCGAATCTCATCCTTCAGGACTCTCCGGAGATCGGTGAGTCTACAGACGGGTCGGGTCACTTGTTGGATACCTCCAGCTGTGGGTCTATACATGTTACTGCTTCAGCCACAGCAAAATAGCCTTCATTTGATGTCAGCCCTTTAACACTAATTTGACATAAATCTTGTGTTGTATGTTTTATCTGGTTTAAAATATTTTGGGTCATGTACAGTATTCTGTTTCTTTGTCCCACAGAAGTTTACACCAGAAAGGATCATGGTAAAGTTAACCTCTGACACTGGGGGTTTGGTGGTGATAAAGTGGCCAACTTTTCAGTGCGAGTGTAAAAAAAACCAGAAACGAATTCATAGCAAGCTGGACATTTCAAAGCAATGAGAAGTTGGCCACCTAGTGGTTCAAAAGTACCTATTTTTCTTTTCGCCTCTACAGGTTTTGGTTTTCCTATATTTTGACACATTTATGGGTGACATTTTTTATGTTTTTTTTGTGGTGAAATAATTGTGCAGTTCAATCCAGGAATCAATTCTGGCTATTGTTAGATCGATTCACCTTTTTTGAACCATGATTCTCTGCTGATTTTTTAGTTATGTTGTTCACCATGGTTGCAGCTGGACTGTTGTTACTGTATAAACAGTCTTGTGTCCTCTCAGCCCACAGTCACGGAGGACTTCACCCATCTGCCTCCCGAGCAGCGCAGGAAGAGGCTGCAACTCAAACTAGACGAGATTGTTAAAGAGTTGCAGAAGGAAGTAGATCAGAGGTACATGTCAATTTATTTTCTCCTGCGTATTAATAAGCATGTCTGTTAGATCTGCTCCGGAGGGAGCGAGATGTAATATTCATGCAGCACAGAGCTGCGTGTTTGTTATTTGTTTACACTCCCCGAGCCCCACACGAACCCGCTCCTCTCAAAGTCACTTTCCTTTTCCTCCTTCCTCAGTGAGGCTTTGGGCAAGATGAAGGATGTTTATGAAAAAAATCCTCAGATGGGAGACCCTGCCAGCCTGGCATCGCAAATAACTCAGACGTCTCAGAACATAGAGCGGCTAAGGGCAGAGCTCAATAAGTATGAGGTAATTCTGACCTTGTTCACAGCCAGGGAACTCATCAATATTTCAACACAGATTGCAATTGTGACAAACTTACTTTTGCAAATAAAACGTCACATTTCTATGACTAAATCCCCTGTCCCTGTTCTTATGCTACTTTAGACTTGGCTGGCCGAGGCGGGAGGCCGCGGTGAAACACTACGCTACAAACCACATGTATTTAACAATAATGGGTCACATGACATTCACAGGTGACAATCATAGTTTAACAGCATGTCTGATTTTATTGGCAGAGATGTTTTAACGCCTGTGTTTACCCTCAGTCCTGATGGGGCTCATTCTGACGAGAGCACTCCTGACACGTCCCAGGCCATTTACGCAGAGTTTGACGATGACTTTGAGGACGAAGAGCTCGCGGCTCCTATTGGGACGTGCACTGCGATGTACAACTTCCCCGGTACGCCTGAAGACTCATTTGTCAGACTATGAATTGTGTGCCAGGAGAGAGCAACAGAGAGTCAGACTAATCGTTTTTTATAGCAGCAGAGTTTCCTCTAAACTTTATCTCAGCCTCTGGAGAGTGGAGACCAGCATAGTTTTAGCTCAGAGCTGCAGCCAACAGAAAATGGACAAAGAGTAATGCTATTTTTAGACTTTGGCTCTTTTCCTACACCCAGCTATTGTCTTCTCTACTAATTGGATGGCTGCGTACTAGATATGTGAATGTTTATTGTGAATATAATTATAGCTTGTTCTGTTTGATTCATCTACTAGAATGGGAAAGGTGTGAACTCATTGAAATATTCAGTATCTCTGTAAGCATCATCATTATTGGGTCTAGTAAGAGTAATTACAGAAAGGTGCTCGTCTGGAAATAAGGATACTCTCAAATATCCAGCCAACTTCATGACTTCTTCTTTCTCATTTATCATTTATGGTCGTCTAAGGCTGTTTGACTTAAAGCCGGGGTACCTCATTTTCTGTTTGTCCCCACTGAAAGAGCTTTTTAAGAGTAACATGCTGTAAACAAATCAGACTACAACATTCTGTCTTCATCTTAATAGAAAACCGGTTATCTTTTGCAAACTTCTTCTTATGAGTCGTTTTTTTGACACTTTGGGCTGAGAGCTGGTTGGCTGAGTCAGGGTGTTTCTCTCGTCTTTTTGAAAATGCTGTTACGTCCGGCTCAGCTAGGGAGTAAGAACGTAGCAAAAAACCAGATGGAATTGGTATTTGTCCATTTTAAAGTAAGTTTTTAATGATGACAGAAAATAAAATGAATTTGGAAACGAAGGAGGAATACAGAAATAATAAGAATATTGATAATAAAAAACGAAAGTCACTATACAAAACTAGAGCTCAAAATTACAAAGTGACAACGTAAGGGAACAGAACAATACAGGAGGAGCAGTGACGGCAGACTGGCACGGACACGTCCAGCTGCCCCGAGCTGACGGCGAGTGGGAGGTTTTATGGGGACGCCCTCAGTGATGGATCCCCGGGGTTGGAGGACGTCCACGCTCTTGTCTCACTACAGCCACTCAGGCGTTAGACCGGCCACGTCCACACTTCAAGTCCCTCCAATAGATCTCCCGCACAGACACCTGTACAGAACACGAAGGCGCACACACCAACACAAAGGGCAACGGGAGCGCCATCTAGTGCACAACTGGCACAATAGGTCGTTGCCCGTAACAATGCTTATTTATGTAACGGAGGTCATAAACGAATGCATGTGAAAACTAGTGGTAGAACCTGATAGAACTGTTTTGAGAGTGTGGAACTAAGTATTACATAGTTCCTTTGTTTGTGGTTGGAAAAATGGGTACATTAGCTTTAATTGACTTATTGATGACGCTAATAAAACTTGTTATTGTTTACATATGTGTTTGCTATTGACAAAATTCATATCAACCAGTTTTATTCTGCCTGCTAAATTGTTGTTAAAATTAATTATTTGCTCTGTTCAGGCGCCAGTGAAGGGACCATCTCTATGCAGGAGGGCGAGGAGCTGGAGGTGGTCGAGGGCGACAAGGGCGATGGCTGGACCAGGGTGCGTAGAGCTAACGGGGACGAAGGCTACATTCCAACTTCCTATGGTACAATCACTCTGTTCAAATGAAAGAGCGAGGAAACTACACAGAAAGGACCTTTGCAGATGCTCCCAACGTGGGAATCACAAAAAGACAATGCTTGGATTGGGACTACCGAGTTTTGCCAAGAGGAATTACACAAGAGGGCTCTGCAGTGATGTTTGTTGCAGAAAGGAGCACAAATCTTCATTGAGACTGAAATACATTTTTGACTCTTGACCAGACGGTGACTATTGAAGTGCATTGCTAGTTCTCGTTCACCTCCATAAAAGAGGGAAGAGCTGCTCTGATTTTCACACGCAATGTTAATATAGTAATATTTTTTTACATTTTCAGTCCTCATTTCTGTTCAAAAATTCCTTCCTAATGGCTGTAATTTAAGATGGTCACCTAGTCTCGCCTCAGTCTCAGCAAAAGCACTTGTTTAGAAGCGTGAAGCTAAATCATGCACATTTTTTAGGAACTGATGAGTTGCGTAAGAGATTATACATGGACAGCTCCTCTGTAAGGAACATGTTAAGACAACACTAAATCTCTGACAATCACAAGCTGCAATTGTTTTTTTCCCCAATAAAAAACAAAATGTCTTTATAGGAAAGTTTGTTCTAAAAATAATTTATTACATGAGTTTTTGTTAGTTCTCAACTTCGGAGTTTTGTTCTCATTTCTATTCCCAGATGCACAAACACTGCTGCCACAAAAGGGAGTAGAATAAGGCGTTGCTAAATGTGCTAACTTGTTTTTATGTAAAATATATTTAAGGATCACAGCACCACTTTTGTCTTAGCTTTTATCATTAATAAAGGAAGTATAGACAGATGCTAAATCTGTAACACCGCTACTACTTGGTTTGGACTTCACCCTGTCCTGGTTAATGTTTTTGAGCCAGCTGTAACTTACTAGTCACATTTCTACAGTGCCTTGTTATTTTTATTGTACATACCATTTTTACCAGGATATGTTGTTTTTCAATGCTTAATAAATGTGCAGCACATTTAAAGTTAATTTGGTCTTGTGTTCTTGTTGACAAAGAATCATAATCAGTCATTTTTATTGCCACGTAAGTAACAGGAGGTCACAGACTTGGAAATTGCTTTGGCTCAGTGCAACAGTCAGAAGAGAGGTAAGGGTAGAGGGGGGCATAATAAAAAATGAAGAATAAAAACACTTCTAAGGAATAAATGTAAAATAAAAATTTAAAATAGAGTTACAATTACTATATACGATACAGTGCACATGGTGCACACTATGTAAGGTGACAGCAGTACAGTGAGGTAAAGTGACGTTATAAAGAGCAGTAGGGGACTTCTAGAGTGACTACTAGACAAAACTATTTATTCCCTCTAATATTGCATTGTTCAGTTCGATAGATGGCGCTATTGCACCACTTTCAGTCCCAGTGCGCCACTAGACCTTCTCTGCGCCTTTTCCTCTCAAATAGGTCACGAATTTGCATAGATGATTACGACCGTATAACTTCCATTCGCACCGTGAATAAACCTGCGCTTGTCCCATTTTCTTGCTCACTTCAAACATAAACCTCAACCAGGTGGGAGAAGCCGAACCTACACATTTCCACATAATAATGCTCTCAACATGTGTTTTTTTACAAGGCGTTTTGTAAATGACCACCTGTACTGTTCCTGAGTCTGAGGTACAAAATAATAAAGTAGATTGTGAAGTACACAAGCTCCTTTTTCAGGACAAGGCAGAGAGGTTCTGACTTTTAAGCCAAAACTCATAAATTGTTGATAGCCTCAGAATATGTTTATGATCAATGTAAGCTTTTAGTTTGCTAGTTTGTTAGTTTGATCTATTCAGAAGATTATTTATCATTTCTAAATCATTTGGTTACTGGGAGATCCCAAAACATACGTTGGATACCATATCCTAGTTTTGGGATCTCCTAGTATCCAGGATACCCTGCTTTTATATTAGGTTTGAAGACTATTCTGTAGCTTAAGCTGTAGCTCTGCAAAGTATTGTGGAGAGTGAATTGACGGAGCAGTATCAGACTTTGAGCCAGATGGTCTCTTAAGGTGCATTGTATCCCTTTTCTCATGGGCTCCACTGCCTACTTGTCACCATGGAGATCTTATTACTTTACTTGGTAAAGGCCTAAGAATTAATATTACAACACTGATAATAATTAGAAATGATACCAATTATACATGTATTTGTACAGTATACATTTCCTACATGAACTTCAGCTCAATGTGGGAACCAATTAAGTTCATGTAATATCGGGTAGAGTGTGAGATATTATACTGTAATTGAAGCCAGTGTGCTCTTTTCAGAACTCTGAAACTAAGCTGTGCAGGGCCTGACCAGTGCTGGGATGGGAGACTGCTGAGAACCGTGCCGTGGTTTAATTTGAATCTGTCTGCTCTGGTCATGCATTTTTCTTGAATAGATGCGTTTTGTAGTGCACCTTAAAAGAGGTTTAGTGTTAATACTGTTGTATGTGTTGTATGACTGCTGGGATATGAGATGTGTGACTACCCGGTGACTTGATGCTGTATTGACAGCGGATGGCAAGAGAAGTCGGATCATCATTTGTATGCAAAGCCTCCACTCCCAGGATGCGGTAAAGGTCAGTCTCTCAACAAGGAGACTGCTTCTTCCTCACACTGTTCACGGCTGGGGACATTTGGAAGAGCACATATGCTGCCAGAGGTGTCCACACTATGGCCCGTGGGCAACATTTGGCCAACAATCTTCCAGTTGAATATGCTCATAAGGACCGTCATTTACTAAGCTTGCATACAGCCATATTTGTGTACATGTTGTGCCACTTGATACATTATTTAATAACGCAGTCCTATGAACTTATGTTTACCTTATGCAATTGAATTCCCTGTTTGACAGGTGGAGCTGCTGGCTAATAAGATTTTTAATGCATATAGGCCAAGTACAGTCAGAGCTGCACCCAGCACACAGAGCACCAGCCCCTCACTGATCCTCCTGCAGGTGGTGAGGCCACAGGAGGACGGCTGCTCTAGTATGAGCTGCCTTGATCTTTCAGCAGGCGCTTCAGGCAAAGTGGGGTTAGGTGTCTTGCCCAACGAGACAACAGCGGACAGTGGGAGTCGTGAAGTAAGTCTTTTGGTGGGCTTGAACGCACAACCTTCTACCAAATGAACCACTGTCGCCCCCAACTTTGAGTGGGTAAATAAAATGGTAAAATTACAAAAAAGTTCTTTTTCACTGCAACTCTATGCAGGCATACAGTAAATCAGAGAAAGCTGAAATGCCTCAAGGGCCTTCAAAATGCAGCAACTCATTTTCTGACAGGAAAGAAGAGCACATCACTCCTGTTTATAAGTCACTCCATTGTCTCCCTTTCTATTTTAGAGTCAAGTTTAATTGGCATGGCCCTCTTCTTTATTGGACCTCTTTTAGTCCCACCAGCGCTCTTCACTCTGCTGATCAGAATCTTGTATTTGTCCCCAAGACCAGGTTGAAGACCAGAGGAGACAGGGCCTTCTCTGTGGTCTGTCCTTGTGCAATAGCTTACCCTAGCACATCAGAACAGCACACTCCAGCACTTTAAATCCCTCCTAAAGACACACATTTTTTATCACTGGCCTTTGACACATGGAGATTTATTATGGTTCTTAAATTATTTTTGTATTTGTAACTATTTTAATATTTTCTGGATTTCATTTTGTAGCATGTATGGTGACTGTTTTAAATGTGTAAATACATTTGATTTGATGTAAAGAATTCTGTGAGACCTCCCACGGGTCTTCATTATCTGATGGCTTCATTCACCCCTCTCCTTATGGACCTGTTGGAAATTAGTTTTTTGGTCAAACATTTATGACATTGCAAAACTCTCAACATCTTCTTGCGCCTTATTTTCAAAGTGTAATTACTCCCCCTCTAATCAAGAAAGCTTCCACTCGTAAATCTCTGCCAAGCTGAGTTGAGAACAACAAATTAAAAACAATTATTGGGCCCAATTCACTCAATATATTGTGTGTCGGCTTACTGGCAGGAGAGACGGTGACATGTAATTCTACTTATATTACGGTGGGCTGCTGTTACAAAATAAGCAATTATTTTTGTGCCTGGTGCAGCGCAGGTGATTAAAGATTTAAGAAGTCGATCCTTTGCTGCTGAGACAAAGATGGAGGGAACCTGTTAAGCTCCAGGCAGCTCTTTGCTTCAATAGCGTCACATTTCACTACTATGTTAGGCTGTCACAGCGCACAATTAAAACGGGATTACTCGCTTGAATAATTGAATGCTTAAGTTGAGGATTTCTATTGCGCCCACTCAATTGTTTTATAACAGGCACAATAAAAAGTCATAAATAAAATGTTAACTTTAAGCTGTGACTTTTCTGACACAAGATGTGATTTTAGCGTTGGACCTTCGCTGGAGGCAGTTGGTTCAGAGTTATTGTAACTCAAACGAACGATTTATTATTTAGTCATCATTCCTGAAAAATATAGAGGATGTTGTTTCTCATCTTATCAGGGACCTGCTGTGATTTGACAAAGAATATTAATTAGTTCACTATTGTAAAGTGTAAAGTCTCACCTGAAAAAGGGTGTTTATTGTGGACATCAGACTCATTCCTTCACGATGTCTTGAGTTTGCCTCAGGGCTCCAGCCCTGTCTCTGTTTGTCCATGCTGTATACGGTACGTACAGAACAATCAATATATACATTCTTTTTGTGCAACAGCTTTTCATCTCCAGCAGAGTCAAGGCTGCAGTTTTTGTTTCAGACAACTGTTTGTGATCATAACCTCAATGAACTTCATGACTGAATTAAACAATTGGCAGAAGACCCTGATAGAAGCAGACAGCAGGATAACAATAGGATACAATAGCAATCGCACGCAACTGCTTTCCTATATGAACTTGATTTCCTGTGCATTCCTCTATTCTACAGCATCATTGTTGATTCAGTTATATGATGTAAGATGATTTACAAACACGCCTGTACTGTACATTTTCTAAAGTAATTGAATAAAGAAACCTTAAACCATTACATATACATCAATGTGTTTTATGCC